GGGATGCAGGATGCAGCGTGGAATGTAGGAGAGGGTGGGATGTGGGACACAGGGCAGGATGTGAGAAGAAGGATGGGATGCAGGGTGGCATATGGGGTGCAGGATGCAGGACAGGATATAGGAGGCAGGGTGGGATGTGGGATTCAGGGTGAGGTACAGGATGCAGGGTGCTCAGGGTACCCTCCAGTGCCTGCACAGGGCAGAGTGGGGCTGCTCATGTTCCTGCTCCCTCCCTGGCTCAGAGACACCCACACTTCACCTTGGTCAGCACCAGCTCCCACTGTCAGGAATTCCTTCAGGCTGGTGTGGACGTGTGTCTGAAGGCCCCATCTTCACAAACAAAGCCTGCAATGATCTGTGAGCACACCAGTGTGTGGTACATCCCAAACCCAACAGGACACCTCACCAGACTGCGCATAAACTCCACAGGGGACTAGTTCCCTAATTCCTGCTGAGCTTTATTTCCCAGCCACGTGTGAGTGTGCCTGGAAAACCCTCTGGAGAGCTGCCAAGCTGCCAGACTGCGGGCACAGACTGACCCTTGCCCTGAGCTTATCTAAGGGGCAGCAGGGGCTGGTGTGGGGTGATGAGCCCGTGGCAGCGGAAGCGCAGTGACATCGGTTTAACCACGTGAAGCTTGAAATCACTTTGACTGAAGTTGTTCTGCTGCAGCCCAGTTAACAGGAAGAGAAAGCGTTGGGGTGACTTCTTGAAATCGTTCCTAGTCTTATGTTCTGTGTCCTTCAAACAAGACCATCAATCTGTCCCCGCAGCACTGGCCAAGCTCCTGGGCTGTGGGTGCAGTGAGGGCTGGGCTGGGCTTCTGTGCTGTGCCTCTCGCTCACCAGACTAAAAGATCATCAAATCTGAGATGGAGGTGCTTGAGAAGCCCTTCCCCACACTGAAAAAACTGCAGCTCATTTCTCATGTCATTTCTCAGCACTGAAATCACAGATGAAGAGCAGTTAACAGGAGGAAGAGGGGCAAGCGAAACCTCCAAGGGGAATTCCAGCTGAGTTCCTTCCCAAAGGCCCAGAGTGGGCAAGGGTACAATGATGGTTCATCCTGCACCCCACACTCAATCCTGCACCCTCTGCAGCTCTGCAAGTTCAGCTCCTGCCTGGAGCCCTGGGAGCACAAGGAGCCCATCCAGGGCATCAGGAGAGGAAAGGGCCCGTCCTGTGTTTCAGTTCAGAAAGTGAAACAGATTTTTTTTTAAGACAGAAAACCCAGGCTCAGGCGTTTTCTGAGACTTCTGACTGCGTTGCTTCAGCTTTCACTGATGAGTGAGCAGGTCTGGGCTGGCGGGGCGTAAAGACAGACAGGAAGGAAATCATTAAAATATTTTATAGCACCCCAGAAAGGTTATTTTCAGGTTGTGCTGCCAGTCTTTTCAGTCCATTCTCCACAGGCAACACCAGCACACCTTGGTGCCAGTGTGGTGCCAGCCCTTGGAGCCCAGGGACTCCAGCACATCCCAGTTACCCCAGCAGCTCTCCCAGTCAGGTCCAGCCTCGGAGGGAGATCCCAGCCCAAGCCCAGGAACTTGTCCCCAAGGTTTGCCTGGCTCCTTTCAGACCCCTTTATCCTTTCCTTTGCTATAATTTTAAATCAATAATTCATTTCCTCTCCCTGGGTACCCCAACAGCAGGTTTTGACACTCCAATCCCATCTGTCCCACTGGGACTGGATGTGCCCATGGGGGATAAACTCTGGGAGAGCCCAGTCTGGCACAGCCTGGGAGAGCAAAAACCAGGCCTTGAAACCAGTTTGTGACAAAAATTAATTGTTCCAGCTGGTGGCAGCAAAGCCTAAAGAATAAAGGACAAGCAGCGAGCTCTGCCTGCAGCAGGGACCTCGCCTCTGGGGGCTTGGGACAGAAAACCCGAGCCCACGACCCCGGTGATGTCCCCACGGTGTCCCTGTGACAAACCTGCTCCTGGGGAACGTTCATGAGAGGCTGAAATGGTGCCATTTCTTCACACCAAGTGCCGTGGTCCTTCCCAGAGCATCCCCTTCCCTTCCCCACTGACCCTTCACAAGCAAACAAACCCTCCCCTCACTCAGCACCAAACCCTCCCCTCGCCACCACATTTCCTTGTTAAAAACAACCTAAAAACAACCATAACGAGAGGTTTGTGAGGGAGGGTCAGACCTACCCGCAGTTTGATGCCATCAGAGGGTTTAAGGGATGAATCACAGTGTCCTCTGCTGCTGGACAGCGGGAACCCAAGGAAAGTCAAAAATCATTTGTTATCTGTGTCACCCCATTGCCTTTCTGACTCCTACTTCTTGTCTAAAAAGCAAAAAAACCACCACCTACACCCCACTGTGCCCAGCCTGCTTTAGGGTATTACCACATAAGCTGCTGTGATTTGGGCTACTAATCTAAGAAGTCAAAGCATCCTGAATTTCCAGCTCTTGAATCCCTAAGAGATGTGGGACAGGGAGCACAGGGATGCTCCATCCCCTCGGGAGCTCACCCCAGGGACAGCGGGGACAGCTGTCCACAGCCCACAGCACAAAATATCTTGATTAAACATCAAACCTCACCACAAATAGGTAATTCCTTGATATCTAAACAAAGGGAATCCAAAATGACACAGCCCTGCCACGTTTTCCCCTCCGTGCTCTGAAAAAGGCCTATTGAAAAACCGAGGCTGGGGAAAGCTGGTAATAATAATAATAATAATGATCCAGTACATAATCTCGATCTTAAATCCTCTTTCCTGAGACAGTTGGGGGTCCATCCTCTCCAGGAAAATGAGGAAGATTAAGCATTTTTAAATCAGGTCATTGCAAGGGAAGTGTTTGCCCTGTGGAATCCTGCTGGTGGTGGTCGGTGCGTGCAAGCCCAGGGTGGGGGGACAGTGGAGTCACAGAATCTCAGAATGGTTTGGATTGGAAGAGACCTTAAAGTCCATCCAGTTCCAGCCCCCTGCCATGAGCAGGGACACCTTCCACTAGCCCAGGTTGCTCCAAGCCCTGTCCAACCTGGCCTTGGGCAATTCCAAGGATGGGGCAGCCACAGCTTCTCTGGGCAACCTGTGCCAGGGCCTCCCCACCCTCACAGAGAAGGATTTCTTCCTAAAACCCAATCTAAACCTACTCTCCTTCAGTTTAAGGCCATTCTCCCTTGTCCTATCACTACCTGCCCGTGTGAGTCCCTTGTCCTTTGGCTCCCCCTTATCCCTGGGCTACAACGATGCTCCTTCCCTGCTGGGATCAAGTGTCCCAGTGCCTGTGAACGACACTCTGTATTCCTGAATCCTGCAGATTCTTCCTCACCTACTTACCAGTGCCTGTAGCAACAATCCTGAGGATTCCAAAAGCCCCCACAGGTGATGCTCACCCTCTCTCCCACTCAAACCCAGGCACCCACACTCGCTCCAGACATCACACACTGGCACCCTCAGGTCAGTGTTTCCACCATACCCAAAACATTTATTTCTCCAAAACTATTGCTAATGACAATGGATACATTTTGTTGCCCCAGTATGGACTGAACATTTCCAACACATCGACTCCTAATACTGTACAATACTGTACCAAAAGGGGGAGGGGGGGGGGGGAAAAAAAAAAGAAGGCTGTACCTCCATATTGTACAGAGTTCTATATACAAAGTACAATTTTACACAGTTTAATATATACACCGTATATATATTGGTGTAGAAGACATGAAACAATGGAAACTGTTTTAGCAAGAACATTCCATCCCACCATTAAACAACTGCTGTCGACAACCCCAAACCCAACGCACCGTACGAGCCACCACAGGACCGAGGTTCAGACAGAAAACACACATTTCTAGACTTTGCAACCCCACTTTCCCAACGTTACAGCAGAACCACATCACTGCGATCCCTTAAAATCAGAGATGGTTTTCAGCAACTGCCCCCGCTTTGGCTACATAGAGCTGGTCTTTTTGAAGAACCTGCTGCTCACAAGTATTGCTCCAGCAGTTTGGCACACTCACGAGTCCAGTCCTTTGGACTTGGCTTATTCACATCTCAGGGCTCTGCCTGGAGAAAAGGCTGGTGAAGTCCACCTCAGGAGTAAGGTTACTACAGTGCCTTGAAAAGGACGGGTCCATCTGCAATTTCCACTGCAAACTGCTAAATATTTACCCTGTATGAAGCTTGGTAGATCAAGTATTAGTACAGCAGGGAGCTGCCCTCCCTCTCCACCTTTGCCTCTTTTTGGCCCATCGTTGAAAAGCAACGCTTTTGTCCCAAACTACGTCATAGGAAGCACAAAATAGAACAGGAAAAAAAAAACCAAAACCAAACCAACCAACCAAACCTGACATTTTCCAGGCCTTGAACTGCTGTTTTGGCATCTCGAGAGCCACCAAAATAGATGGTTTGTTCCTAGAACCGAGCCTGGAAAAGAATCCATCTGCCTTCAGGCGGCGGCGGCAGAGCCTGGAACCGCTTGTGCGTGACACAGCCGGGGCCATCCCGGCCCCACAGGCACAAGGCAGAGGGTCAAGTATTTGTATTTTCATTTTTTTTTTTCAAGTACCAGGTTGTCACACGGACACAGAGACACGCAGAGAGCTGATCTGGAAAGAGCTCAGACCCCAAAGTTCAGTCCATGAAGTGCTCGGTGTTTTCCCAGAGCTGGTGCTGGGAACATCCCTGTGGGGAACAAACAACGTTCCCCATGAGAGAGAGAACATCCTTTTCTTCTACCAGGCCACTAAAGAAATAGCTTTATGTCTCCAACTGCATTTGAGGGGCGTTAGCCAAGGCCAGATAAACCCACAACAGGGCCTGTTATTTTTGTGAAAGCTAAAAATCTCAAAATAAATAAATCCCCATCTTCTTAAACTCGTTTTCGGCCCAAGACAGGCTCCTAAAGTGAGGGAAATGCCCCAGTGCTCCTGTGTTTCTTTGTTTTTGAAAGCAGTTTTCCTCGCTTGTGGTTCACAGGTCAGCAAGTAAATATTTATGCTTAGGAGCACATCCCTGCACAGTCAGGGCTTGATCCTGCCAGGCACAGGTATCCCCTCCCCTAGCCACCAAACCAGTGCCACACTCCAAGGGACAGGGGCACATCCTTCAACTCCCACCTGTCCTCGTGGATGTGTAGGACTGGGGCCAGAGCCTCTTACTGATTCCAACTGTCTCAAATGGGGATTTTTAGGGATTTTCCCCTCATTATTGTTGCCTTAGTAACAAACTACACCCCACTGAGACCACCATCTCATTTCAAGTGTTCCCTCAGCGTGGATTCCACCAGCAATGGAGCATTTCCACCCTACCTGGTCCACAGGTCTGGAAAGGATCTGAAGTGCTAATAACTAGAGACATCGATTTCTGCAGAAGAACATCTCTCAAAAGCCCAATAAATCCCCAAATCTATACAAGGTTCAACTGAATTTGAGGTTTTTGACACACAGAAGAAGAGAAATAAGGCAGCAAACTCCATCTGCAATGAACTTCTCTCGTCCCAGTATTGCTGGAGCTCTTCCAAGTGCGCCGGGTCACCCCTTGTACCAAGTGCAAGGTGGGGGAACTACAACAGATGGAATTTCTTGCCAAACTGAAGCGTTTCGATTCGGTAAATAAATTTATGAGAACTCGGTTATCTTAACCTACTTTTGTGCAAGAACAATCTTGCCTTAAAAAAAAAAAAAAAAAAAAGAAAAATCATTTTTAAAAAAAAAAAAAATCAACAAAAAAACTCCCAAACCCAACACATGAGGTATTCAGCACAGGAAACCCAAAGACTCCTTTCGAACAGGTATCAAAATACAGACATATACAACGATTTTTTTTTTCTGCTGTCACAGTGCACTCTAATTATTTACTCATTTTCATTGCAATAGAATATCCAGTACAGATAAAGTGAGAGAGTTTGATTGTGTCCCACTGCTTTGACAAGAAGGACAAATTTACAATTTATCAACTGCAAGCCTTTGGATGCCCTTGAGAGGCAGAAATTTAGCACTGGTTAAAGCACACTGCTCCATTCCCAACTAGGGAAATAAGCCAGAAAAGGTTCGAGCTTCAGAAACTATTCAGATCACCTAAAACTGTGTTTTACTTCAAAAGTTTTTGCTTTGGATTATTTCAATCCAACACCCGATGAACAAGGTCCCCGTTGTTCATCCCGAGCACTATCGAACAGACAGACGTTATTCCAGTTATCCAACACTTCTTGTCTTTATATTTGACACGAACATTACATAAAAAAGTCATGGAAAAGAGAATTCCTACGGAAGAGCTAATATTTCTTCGGAATATGAAGATATGAAGAGATGTTGGCACCTCCCCAAGCAAACCACTGCGTCGTCCTTGCCCACCCTACGCCGGTCTCTTCTTCCGTGGGGAGCGGCGCCGACTTTCCCAGTCCCTCCTTCCCACCTCTCCAGCAGCAACTGGGCATTAAACCCTTGTGGCAAACCTTCTCTTGGCCTTGTGTGTTCACAGAGTGAAGCAGGCAAGGTGAAATCCTCCTTTCCTTGGTTGTGATTTTGTTGTTCAATTCCCCCGCGTGTGAGTTTTTTGCCGGCCGGGTAGACCCGGAGCACGAGGGAGAGGAAGGATGACCTTCAGCCTGTCATATTGCTTGCTGTAAATGTTAAGTGTCAATCACAGTGCACACCAGAATTCCAGTTGAGTTGCTCCATATACAGGTTATCCTGCCAAGCACATTCCCCTTGGCAGCAGGATTGTCCCAGAGCTGTGGATGCTAGAGAAGCACAGTAATTCAGATACAGACAGTTGCTGTTACAGTAACCTGAAGTCTTTTTTTTTTTGTTGTTGTCATTTAAATCTCCTAATTTCACACTTCAGACCTGGAAGATAGAAAAGAGCATCTCCTCCAATGTGCTGTGCGTGGCTGGACACTTATTCTTAGAAACATGAACGCTAGGCATAAAAATAGAAAGAAAATAAGGCATTACAAATGAGTTGAAGTCGATTTACAGAGATCCTGCTCCTGACACAGATTAACTTTGGTCGTTTACGACCAAAAAAAGAAAACAAAACCAAAAAAATTCCTACTTAAAAGGAAATGCCAGCAAGTTCTGCCTGAGCAAAAAATTACAAGTCTAATTAATTCTATTTTTCCCCAAAAGAACAAGTGATTCCTTGGTGGTAGAAGTCCATCAGAACCTGAGAGCAAAGGTCGCCGGTCGCGCCGTTGGGATCTTCCGTGAGGTCCAGTGACAGTCACACACGTACCATGGGCCTTCCCCAGGGAAAGCTGAGGAGAAATGGGTAACAAAGAGTGTTCTCACTGAAATCTTTCCAGTGTTCCACAATTTTCTTAATTTAGGGCACAGAGGAAGTTGGTGTTTTGAAAAGCCATCATTAATATGGATTGATTGCTCCTGCAGAGAGGGGGGGGGTGTGCGTGTGGGGACGGGCAGGGACACAGGAAAACCCTGCTTCAATTTTCCAAGTAACATCCTAAATTAACGAGAAAAAAAACATTTCAGCAACCCTTCTTAGAAAAGCACGTTTTGTGTCTTCTTTTTTAATTACTAAGTGCCAATTAAACCGACATCGCAGTCACGAGGAACCCACAAACTGGAAAGAAACTCAGCTAAATGGGCGAGAAAAATGACTTTTCTTATCTCGCCCTTGCCTGAATTTATCTGATGAACACATAAGATGTGCAGCTTGTTTTAACATCCCAGAAAAGTTTAGGAACAAGGAGAACCAGGGTCAGCCAGGACTGTGAATCTTCCTTAGCGCTGCAAGTGGCACATGCCTTTGTTGGGGTTTTTTGTTTGTTTTTGTTTTTTTTAATTATTATTATTATTAAATTAAATAACCGTGAGCGTTGTGGAGAATTCCCAGAGGAGTACAAAAGAGTCCTTGCAGCCTGCGGGCAGCTGGAGCGTTTGCTGCCTACAGATAAATACAAATACTACGAATCCATTCACATGTCCGAGTCCTAGGGAGGAGCCACGCCAAGGGACACGCGGGGAAGCCACTCCAGGAGCCACGTGTGCTGTCACATCACTGTCCCCAGCGGCGTTTCCTGCCCTGCTCTATAAGAGCAGAGATCCCTAAATCGAGTCACAGCGGTCCGGGCCACCGACCGAAGCGTTTGCAACCAGAAAGAGGGAGAAGGTAGGAAGCTTGAGAACTTCGGATCGAAGTTTTGGGGTTTTTTTACAGTGCTTGTCACTGGGATTTTGGTGAGGATCCATCCTGATGTGTGATCAGACCGAGGATGTGTGCGTTTGGAAGTGGGCTCCCATCAGGGGACGCTTTGAGTTTTCCAAATGAACTTGTTTTTTACATTCAGTCTCCCGAGAGCACACACCACATCAGAGCCCAGGGGCTGGAAGTCACGCTGAAACAATAAAGCTGTTTTTAAATACGGGAGGGCAAAGGGGGGAAAACCAGCTCGATTGTCCATAAGCAACAACTGGGCTCTTTGTTATGCTCCTAAACCTCAGGAGCACGTTTGTTTATATTTGCACAGACACACATTACGTAGAACTCCACAAAAATCTAAGAGTGTTCCAGAGTAAACTATTTTTTCATGACAAGTGTCAACTAAAGCATGAGGCTGGATGGCCAAGGGCTTTGGCCCCGGGGAGGGGGAAGGAAGGGGGAGCAAACAAACAAAACCAGAGGATGTGATGGAAGTCGAGACAGACCCTTAAACCACCGTGGCACCGGTGGGCGACAGAATAATAATAATAATAATAATGCACAAGAAACAGGCATGTCCAAGCTCCACGTAACCAGTGGCACCAAAACATGCAAGAGACTAAAATCTATCCTATTGTTTCCCTGTGATAAATGAAACACAGAATATTATAAGTCACTACACCAGTATCCAAAAACAGGATGCCACCGAGTGTTTCTTTCAGTGGCCAAACACTTGGACGAGGCATCAACCAGAAACCAAGATCCAACTCATCCCTCCTGTGTGTGTTTTCCTGCTCAGCTTCACAGTGACCCGACTCCGGATTTCCCCGAGCGTGGCAGGAACCGCTTTGCCCCACACACATCAGCGATGTGGGGACGTGGGACGAGGTTGTCACCGCTCAGTTCGCTCCCGGGAAGAGCGAGCGGCAGTTTCACAACTAAACCTTCAGTTCAGAAAAAAAAAAAATCACTTAAATAGGAATTTTAACGTCTTTTTAACAGAGTCTCTCCATCCGAAGCGTTAAGAGCCGTCTCCGTGGAGCAGCACCGAGTTCATCACACAGTACAGGACTTGTCAGGGGGCTGCTGGGACGCGGAGGAGGCCACGCCGGGGCTCGTGGCGTTGGTTTTGGGGAAAACGGCGGGTTTTGGGCGGGTGGCCGGAGGTTTGACCTGCGTGGCCATTTTGACGGACTTGACGGGCCGGAAGGTGCACGGAATGTCCCCGGCCGTGCTGGCACTGCGCTGGAAGGGCGGCTCAGAGTCCTTGAGGAGCTGGGTGTGCAGAGGGCTGGAGGGTTCCGAGGTGGGGGCCACCACGGGGGACGTTTTCAAGGGCTCCAGGGTGTCCAGGACAACGTCCGGCGTGTGCTTGACGCTGCTCTGCCTCTCCAGCTCCCGCAGCTCGTTCAGAGCAGAGTTCATTGTGGCTTCAATGTCCTGCAAACGCAGAGGAGAAACCCAGTGAGTAGAGCCCAGACACAGAAATACTGATATATATATAAATAAATACATAAATATATAAAATATATATATACATAAATATATAAAAATATGTATAAATATATGTTATATAAATATAAAATTATAGATAGAAATATATAAATGCAAATATATAGATATATAAATGCAGATGAAGATATAAAATATAGATATAAATATATAAATACTAATATAGATATAAATATATAAATACAAATATAAAATATATAAATACCAATATAGATATAAATATATACATACAAATATAAATATATACAAACAAATATATAAATACAAATATATATAAAACATAGATATAAATATATAAATACAGATAAAATATACAGAGATATAAATATGTCTCTATATATCTATATTACATATAGATATATATTACATATAGATATATATGTAATATATCTATATATATAGATATATCTATATATATATAAATATAGATAGATATAGATATCTATATTAGATACAGATATATAGAGACATCTATATGTAATCTAGATATATTATTATATAAAAATAAATATTAACTACAATATACCACACAGAATAAATATATAATAAATGATAAATACTACAGAGAATGTATAATAATAATTATATAGTATAAAATATATCTATATAAATATATAATATATAGCTATATCAATAGATATAAATATATAAATACTTATAGATTCATAATATATATTATATATAAATATGTATGTGTATATAGATATTAAAAAGTATATAAATATATAAATATATAAATATATAAGTATATATATATATATAAGACTTTGAGAATGACATATTTTTTTCCAGTCTGTGAACATCAACACTCAAATTGACCCTGGGTGAAGGACCCTGAGGTGTCAGAGTGAAACCTGTGCCCAACTGTTCAGCATCAAATCCTGCAGTCAATAAGCACTAATTTTTTTCCAGCGAGAGGGAGGAAAACAATTGCCAGAACTGCCTCGATGCTGATCTGGTCCTTTACTGCTCCTTGGGTTTTAAAGATGAACAAAATCCCCAAATGCAGCAATGAATAGAAACCCAATGGAATCAAACTATTAACACCCACTCTGGCACTTTATTTGGCACAGGAGATTCAGGAGAGTAAATTCCTGAAGGGTTGATGGTTTTGACACTGGCTGATGGGTCACACACTGAATGTTGAAACCCTCCTGTGCTCCTGCAGCCTCACTGCTTTTCCTGCTGTCTGAGCTGTTCCCAGAAAGGTATTTCACAGCACTCAACATTTGAGCATTTTAGAACACGCAGAAGATACCAGAAACATGTCTAGAAATTCAAGCTGGCACTTCTCCTTCCTCTTGTAAAATATCACAGTTATTAACAAATAAATATAAAGAGAATTTTGAGATATAAATAAATATGGGGGGTTTGTCTCAGCTGGAGCAGGACCTACACTGGTGAACCCAGCAGTGCACAGAATTCCCTGGGGAGCAGGAGAGCTCAGCCCTGCTCTGACTCACACTTTGGCCACAGCTTTTCAGCTTCCTCCCGAGGTTTTTCAGGGGGTGGGGAAGGTAAATCAGTCAAGGAATGGTGGAATAAAGCAGAGACAGTAATCTGACACCTCCCAGTCTGTCCTGAGGCCAGGCAGATTTTAGTTATGTGTTTGGGGGAATATGTAAGATGCACAAGGGTTATTAGATGGTGTCTGAAAAGATGTCACAGGGCAGAGAGAAACACTGATTTAACACTGATTTTTTTCTCCCTCCTCTTTTTTATTTGCTTTCCCTTCCTCGTTCCTTTTTCTCCCCAGACTCTTCTCCAGTGAAACAATGGAGTGTATGTTCTGGCTGGGAGAGGAGATCCTAATTGATAAAACAAAGAATCTGATTTATATCAACCAAAGCCTTGGAAGGACAGGGAAATATGATATACATATACAGTGTACATATACAGTGTGTATATGTATATATGATATACATATACAGTGTATATAATATACAGCAGGAGCTGTATATTATAATTCCACTGTAACAAATGGGCTAAAGACACTCATAACAGCAAAATACAACCTTCCATCAGAACACCCATCGGGTTTTAATTTGGGTTTATTTATTATTTGGAGCTGCTGTTTTGTCAATAAAAATTACGTTTAATTTCCACATGTTTTCCCCTCCTTAGAAACCTCCAGAGTCCTGAACCAGGCAGAGCAGTCAGGTCTCCCAGGGCTGGCTTTGTAATCCGAGCCTGGAGCATTCCTTGGCTTTAGACAGATGCATCCATCCCATACTGCAAACAGTTGGTACGGGCAACATGCAAGTGCAGGCACATCCACCAGGGCAGATCCTTCATGGAAGAGGGAAATTCGTAACATTTACATCTTTTGCAGCCTGCCCTTCACTTCAAGGCACTTGCCTGAATAAACAGCTCGTGAAAAGCAGCAGGATTATGTTCAAAGTTGGTTTCTGAAGCCTGTGAGCACATAAAGATGCCACTGGAGCACTGAAGGAGTCAGCAGCCTGCTTTTATTTTGGCTGTGCTGCTCCATGTGCTTCCAATGTCTCACCACAGGCAAGTCTGCACAACTGACAGGAGAATGTTAAGTCGACACTAAATACTTCGCTTTTCTCGGGGTCTTGGAGTTGTGATTGTTTAATTCCTTGCTGACAGCTTTGAAATCTGTGTCACTTTCTGAAATGGACGCTTTTTATTGTTGAAATTAAATTCTGAATAATGATCAGGGCCAAGTTTTTACGGAGGAAGGACCTGACTGTTTATATTCCCTCATGAAAGCAGCCTCAGTGCTTTGCACAAAGCAAGGATGAAAGGGTGGACTCAAGCTGTGTTGTAAGTTAATATTACATTGAGAGAATCATGGGGTAGTTGGGGTTGGAAGGGACTTCTGGAGATCACCCAGTCCAACACCCCTGCCAAGGGAGGGTCACCTGGAGCAGGTGACACAGGAACACATCCAGGTGTGTTTGGAATGTCTCCAGAGAGAGAGACTCCACACCCTCCCTGGGCAGCTGTTCCAGGGCTCTGCCACCTCCATGGAAAGAAGTTCTTCCTCAAGTTGAGGTGGAAGTTGTTGTGTTTTAGTTTATGGCTGTGGCTCTTTGTCCTGTCACTGGGCACCACTGAACAGAGTCTGGCACCATCCTCTGATACCCCTTGGAGATATCTGTAAGGATTGACGAGATCCCCTCTCAGTTTTCTCTTCTCCAGACCAACCAGGCCCAGCTCCTGCAGCCCCTCACCATCAGAGAGATGGTCCCTCCCCCAGAAGGGAACGGACACGAGATTAAATCAGACTTCTCATTAAAACACCTCATTAAAACATCCTTCAAATTTCTGAGCCAAGCCTTCAGGGCAAAACCCTCCTCCTTACCTGTGCAATGACCTCGGGGTCCATGGGCCGGTGGTTGTTGAAGCTCTTGGACCTCCCTGCTGTGACAGTTTTCCGGATCTGGGGGCTGTCGATCCTGTTCTTCAGCGACGAGTGTCGGCTGATGGAATTGAGGCTGCCGTGGCCACTGATGGAGCATTTATCTGGCACCTCCTTGGGAAGACTTTGGCTCATAATGGGCTGAGATGAGGGTCTGGAACCGGCTATGGCTCCGGGGGAGGCTGGTTCTGCCAGTGAACTACCTAGTCCATGGCTGTCACTTTGACGGAAGGCTCTTCTGATGCTGCCTGACTCTGGTTTCTTTCTTTGCCTTCAGTCACAAAAGCAAAACAAGTCAATACAAGCAGGTACAAACAACCAGCTGTCATTTTTTTGAAGATATCCCCCCAAAAAACAACACAGAGGACAATGGGAAGAGACATAAAAAGATAACCCAGATTACAGACACGCCCAGGATTTTAGGAGTGGTTGCGATACAGTGAAATTATAAATCGTTCCAGTTCAACACTTCTAACAACGAGGCTGAGTTCTGGCAGCTGTGCACGTTCAGAGCAAAACCAGAAAGCTTGGATGGAACGTGATTAACTTGGTCAAGAGGAAAAGAATCTGTATTTGAAGACAAAAAAAACCCTCTGTGCCTTCAACAGGTTTTGATGATGTGTTTTTATTACATTCGAAGAGCAGAGCTACAATTTTTGACTGGAGGACACAGTATAAGTCTACTAAGCTCCTGGCCCAAGGCATCAAGTTATTATTTTCAGAGATCAGCAAGCAAAGAACCCCAGTTTGGGGTTAATGATCATTTCCAATATTTGCTGGTGGTAAGAGGTGGTTCTTTTTCATGGCTCTGGCAGGACCACAAGGCACTTTTCTATGCAGGGCTACAGATAAACCAAAAGATGATGGCAAATGGATGAACTGCTCCAAAGAATTTAGTTTCTACCCCAGCACCTTGCGGTCTGACAGCACGATTCCTCTCAAATCATAGGAAGGCCAATGCAGCAGAATACTTTATGCCATAGGTCTGAAGCTTGGCATCCATTATACAGGGAAGGATCCATTTATATATAGCACCAGCCCCATGAATAACTGCAAGAAAGTGTTAACTCCAGTAGGATTTTGGCATCCAAATAATAATTCAGTGGGTGGCACAACTGTCATTGCGAAACCATCTGATTTAATTTTGCTCAAGTCTGTTCACACATAGGTCAGAAGATTCATTCCTAAAGAAAAAACAACAAAATGAGTCTTATGCTACTGTTGCTAAATATCAGGTTCCCTAGTAAAGGGAAAAAAAAAAAACTGGAGTGGACATTACCCAGGCTTCTTAAAAATACTACACACAACACTACCAAAGCCAGCAGATGGTGAAGCTCCAACATAGGTCTGTTATTACACAAATCTCTCCATAACTGGCAGAATGGCTACTTCAGTGGCTCAGACAATAAATATCATAAAAGAAAGCCCAGATCCCAAGCTGATGCAGATTAACATGGCTTCAAAGATATCAGTGGAGCTCTGCTGAATCCCATAACTAAGGACCAGGCCCTCTAGGCCATAGGCAGGTCCAAACCTTTTAAAAGGATGCATTTCTGTTAATGCCTTTATAGACTACATTCTGTTAAATTAACTGACTATCCCCTCCCATCAAACTGTAATTATCACATAATACCTTCACTGCACAATAGAGATGTGGGGGTTTTAATGCTAAGGAAATAATCAGAAAGATAAGTCTGCTCCAGAAAAATGAAATAACAGATCATGAAATTTAGTCTGTTACTGGCTTGATTTTTTTCAGCTTTTTTACTATGTTGAGTGTTGGCTAAGGCAACAATTTCTGGTAGAGAAAGTAAGGTTAGAGCAACAGGGGGTTGTGCTGTTCCACTGCAAGCATATGGTTAGTAACCTGAGGTGAGAAGTGCTGGAGAAACTAGAGAGTGTTACAGGCAATGCCAGATGGTGGGACTTCAGGAATGGCATTTATCACAAAATGGGACACCAGTTTCTGAAGGAATTGTCCTCCCACCCCATCAAACAAAACTTGTTAAATGTGGACAAGACACGACAGATCACGGAACGTAACAACGAATGGGGACGCACGATACGAGATCTCATTCCACCATTCCCCTCCCTTCCTCTGCTTAGCTCGTAAAATAGGGCATATTTGGGAAAACAGGAACAGATGGCACCTTGGGGATAGGGAAGAGCAGCCAGTGGGGTTTTAAATGAGCATTGGCCACACTGGTGACAGAGCTCGGGCAGCAAAACGTGAGTGGGTTAGAAGAGGGGGAAGCAGAGAAGAATGGTGGCAGTGCTGGTTAATGAACCTTTGTCAGGGAAGGAAGCATTTCACTGGGCTCATCACCAAGCTCTTTACAGTTCAGGAAAACAATGCAAGGCTGTTCTTACTTGTTGATGTTTGCAAGGTAAATATCTGCGACGTGCCCCCCGCTCGGGCAGCTGGCACCAGCTCTGGCTGTCACTTTTTCTTCTGGTGGCTCAGAGTTTATTTCTATTTCAGACTTCGGGCTGGACCTTTCTGAGATTCCATCCTCACTAGGAAGGAGGAGGGAAGCACATCACAACCAGAACAGGACCAACAGCACTGAATTTCAAATGCAGCACTGTGCATGAAAACACACACATGGGACAGCAGCACAGTGCTGGTGTCTTTCTCTTAAGAATCATTAGATATCTTTCAAATCATAGAATGGTTTTCTGGAAGGGATCTTCAAGATTATCCAGTTCCACCATCCCTGTCATGGGCAGGGACACCTTCCACTAGCCCAGGTTGCTCCAAGGCCCGTCCAACCTGGCCTTGGACACTTCCAGGGATGGAGCAGCCACAGCTTTTCTGGGCAACCTGTGCCAGGGCCTCCCCACCCTCCCAGGGAAGAATTTTCTCCTGATATCCAACCTAAACCTGCCCTCCTGCAGTTTAAGGCCATTCCCCCTTGAAAAATCCCCCTCCAGCCTGAGAGCCCGACTCCTGTGAGCAACCTGCAGATCCCAGCTCTGCATCTTTCACAGGCACCAGAACCACTCTGACACCTCCACACCCACGGGCACCGACACCTCCCCGAGCTCTGCTCGCTCCCCTTCCCTCAGGGGAGGCCGAAGGAGGAACTGCCCCCACATGGTGCCAACACCTTGGCACAAACACTCCCCTCCACACCCGAGTTTTTGGCAAGGCCAGGGTGTCACATACGTGTCCTGGACGACGATGTACTGGTGGGGGATGAGGCCGTCGATCCCGTTGTGCCGTCCCTCCCACCAGTCGTCCGAGGCCCGCTGGTAGAGCAGGAGGGAGGCTCCTTTTTTGAATGACAGCTCTCGTGCTGTCCTGCCAAGGTAGTCAAACTTTGCTATTGCTTCTATGGGCTCACACTCTAAGGAGACAGAAGGGAATAAACAATAATTCACTAAACATTTGGGCTTATGAAGTATTCAGCTGTTTAAACTCGTAGGCGAGAGCATGAAGAGGATGAAGTGTTGCTGCTCAAGGCTGCAGCGTTTTGAAGCAGCAAAATTCAGAGGGGAACTCCCCTGCAACTCGTGGACTTTGCACTTTTAGCATTTGCCTAATCTCTGCATTCATGTTTTCCAAGTCATAAACCCGCTCACAGTGATTCAAGCCTACAATGGAAGTGGCAATGGCAAAATTAGTGTCTCCTTGAACCAAAAAGCATTTCAAAGCTGGGTAGCAACCAGGTGTGTTCTAGACAACAATCTGCCTATGGCACCCTTCCTTCAAGGCAGCTAAACTGAACCTCCCAGGCAGGCAGGAGTTGTTATTAGCATTTGGGGAGGAAACATCCTCTCATTCCAAGCTGCTTCAGAAATAAAGGGTCTATTCAGGGGGAAATCTCTGCTGCCTGTGAGGTTCACCTGACCCAGGAGACCGGATTCTGGCACCGTGGGAGGCCGTGCTATTCATCCAACTGTCATGGAAGCTCAGGAAAACATCCAGGGCCTCCACTGCTGTGCTTTGTGCAGTGATGGGGAGGCTGAGCTGCTTCCCAGCTCCGTCCAGCTGGGATGCTCCGTGTCCGCCGAGCACGGAGGGATCACGCCTGGAGCTGCCCAACTTGCTCCAAACCTGCCTGCAAAGCTCACACAAGAGCTCCAGCCATGCCCTGTCTGCAACCAGCCACTAATCCAGGTCCCTGCAGGACTCTGATATTATACAGAGGGACAATAAGGGCATTTAGACACTCAGGAAGATCAATATGAAATTCATGTGGATTAATTGTTAAGACTTCGAAAAATCTGACACTGGTTGAGTCTAAATATATATTAAGCCAGCTCCCAATTCTAGGCAGGAATCAGGGGAATGGGGATGAGCTCAACCACACAGCCCCAGTGGACTTGCTTCATTACTCTAAAGGAGCTTTAACACAGCCAAGCAGTCCATGGAAATTGAGTTCTTTCCTGGAGAAAAAGATTTGTGCTTCCTCTTCCCGGACAAGGAAGGATCTGCTATTCCATACAGAGCTCTCCCCTGCATCACAGGAAGCTTCTACAGTGCAAGAGCCAGCCAAATAACACTGGAAGGCTAAACATGAGCCACAGCTTTCACAGTTATTTCTTGGGAGAGCAGATGCTCAAGAATTGGGTCTCCATGGCTGCTCACAGGCAGGCAAGGCTTGATAAAATAAATGGTGAATATGTGGCTGAACCTCATCAACCAAGCTGAGGGAGCAGAGCAGAGCAGAAGCATCTCATCCCAAAAAGCCCCACCAGCACCTGAGTTACCCAGCACAAAGTGACCAAGGGCTGAGGGCAAAGGGCAACAGGATCTCTCAGATCCACCCCCCAACAATAATTCCTCCACTACTGAACCCAACAGCTCGGAATTCTCCCAACCACACATTTCAGGTAAGCCTGTGGGTCAGCCTCACACAAAATCCCATTATCAGTCCTCAGCAACCAGGCAGGGATTTGGAAGGGTGGGAAAAGCCTGGCCCACGTTGGCAGCTCTCAACTCCAAAGCACGTGGTGAGCCATGTTTGGCTCCTTCTTTCCTCTTGCTTGTTTTGCCTCTGGAGCCAGTTTCTTCCTGACACTAAAAACTCCAATTATGCTGCTTTCTGGTGTCCCCCTGCATTTAGGAAAGGGATGGGAGTGTGGTTTGGTACATTCCATCTGTTTCATTAGGAAGTGTTTATTGTTCCAGATGAGAGCGGCACTCAGGTTTCTTATGTTTCCAATTTGCTTTTTAGGACTCTGGCTCTTCTCCAGAGAACTGATTTTAGACTTTAATTTCCAGTAGCTTTTTTCCTACTACACTTTCAGACAAGAAAGCTGTGTGAATAAAGAGCAATAAGGCTAAGCCAAACAATTCCCCCTGCCAGCCTGAGAGCCTGGGCAGGAAAGCAGCAGATTCGAATGTTTCCACTCATATATGTAATTTAACAAACATATAATCTGCTTGTTTTTCAGCATTTCTGACCTCTTATACCTGTCTCAAACCAGAGTGTCCTCTCACTAGTACAGTGAGGCTGCAGAACAGCTTGGATGCTCTTCAAAACACATCTTCTTCCCCCCCATCCCAAAATTCCTTCCTTCAGTGAGGGTGGCTGGGGTGACAGCTCTGCTTTGGGAAGATTAGTGCCAGGCTCACAAAAGAGCTTAAGAAGCAAGTGTGCTAAAGAATCTAAAGCCTGAAAGAGGGAGAAAAACCCAGGAACATCCATCCCAGAGTCCTGGTGCTGTACCTGCACTGTTGACAGGTATGAGCAAGGTGTGACTCTGCACAGCTCAGTTAGGACATGAGATTCCTCACTTAACCAGACCCTGCAGCTCCCTCAAAGAGATACAGCCCCAGCTCCCTCCTCTGCTTCAGTGCCAAAGGCTCCCTCCCAAATGCTTCCTATGGAATATTCCATGTAGGATGCAGAACTCCATCCAAAACACCTCCCAGTTTTACCTTGCTCGGGGGCCCCACGCGATCGAGTTCCAGAGGCTGCAGAACAGTGTCCTTCTCTCATCTCTAACAGCTCATTTCTCACTATTGTCCCCCCTTCGGTCACAGAAGAGACCTAAAAATCCCCTCCAGAAACAGCCCCAGTGCCCACCCCAGTGTGGGAGCCTGCAGGCTTCAGCCCCAGGCTCTATGCAGATGTGGGATGAGTTGGCCTGTCCTTCCTCACAGCTATTAAACTGTTCTTTCTTAGATACAAACTCCAAAAGGACACATTTTCATGCATTTTTAAGAGCTAACACTTGTCAGACAGAACACTCTGTTCAAGACAGAGAGCGAGCTCATGTTTCATTCCCACAGGCTTTGTGCTCCCTCCCAACAACCTTGGTGAGGAATCACTGTGCCAGTGCTTGACCGTGCTGAGGGAGAACTGATTTCCCAGCATTTCTAAACATCCTTTACTTCACCACTGGTGTGTGAACACCAGAGAATCCCAGGATCCACTTAGGTTGGAAAAGACCTTTAAGATCATCGAGCCATGAAACCAGTGGGAGCCCAGGGATGCCTTGGGAAGGGTTTGTTAGGCAACTGCTGAAGCAGAGAGGCAGCACAGGAGCACCTGGCAGGGCTACTGAGCAAATTCCTGACCGGCTCAAAAAAGGATGACACCTGATTTTAAGGGAATGGTAACTACTTCCCACCTTTACAACTGAGGTCACAAGTAAAACCATCACAGAACTCACTCAGGCAATTGCAAAGGGTCTAAATGCAAGAACAAAATCATAACTCTGTGCTGATTGGGTCAGTCTGCTCTCTGTGCTGCTCAGTATTCCAGGCATCATTGTTTCACACCAGTAATTTAATCTTTCCTCTGCTCTGGATGGGGCTCACAGGATGTTCCCTGTCGCAGGAGGAGGCTTGGGAAGTATCAACAACAGACACTCACAACTGCAGTGTCACCTTCTCCTTAGGAGATACTGTGAAATTCTCTCTTCTTTTCACTGATCAGACCAGAAATGTCACAGAGGTCCCCAAGGAAACCCAAAAATTATCAATGAGAGAGGTCCCCAGGACCCCTTACCCTAAAAACTGGTTGTGAGTGGAAGACAAACAGGTTTTGACTTTGTTTTGCTCCCTTCCTTACAGTAGAACCACTGGGGCTCAGAGCACTCACAACCCCCCTGCCACAGCTCCCAAAAGGGGAATGCCTAGTGCAGGCAGAGGGAGTGGGAGAGCATGATGGAACACATCCAGCCTTTGGTTCTGTGCTTCCACTCTGACTTCCAAATCCAAACCTGGAGTGTGCCCAGGCCTTCTGCTAAGAAGAGACAACCCCTGAGAAGAAGGGATGCTTTCAAAACACTCAGGTAACTTCTACAGCTCCCTGTGATCCTTCACCTTTTTACTTCTTGGCACCAAATGCTGCATTGGATGTTTCAAGTGACTGTTCTGATTCAAACCCCACTTCAGAGCTGACTTTAAACTTCAATTCCAAGGCACTTCCCACCCTGCCTCCCCCAGGGCTGGCTGCACCAGTTAACCCAGCAGCTCAGAGGCTTTGCATACCATCATCACTGGTGTGGTGCTCGGCCGTGACGTCCTGCACCGAGTCTTCTGTGGAGGCTCTCTCTCCATGGGGACTCTCACTGCAACAGAAGGACACAGGGACAGTGCTTTAGACTGATGGAAACTGAGTTTCCTCATCACAACCATCAGATATAAGTGGGAACATCCATGTGGGAAGCCAACATTTAGGCTCCACTGCGACGCTCTGCGGTTCATCTGCATGTGCTGAAGTCAGTGTGTCTGAAAATCAAGCTGAATTCTTATTTGATCAACCAACCCAGACATCCAGGTTACCCTTCTTGTGTGCTGTCAGCAGTCCAACTTCAGCTCTTACAACCTGGACCTCTGGAGAGGCTGAGCAGTCAGACAGCAGGGGAAAGCTGGGTCCAGCTCCTCTCTGCCATGCCAGGATTATTCCCTCAGCTCTGTTCTCCACTGCTCTAATTAGCTCATTAGATGGCTGATGAGAAAGCTGCCACTTCCTGGGGGAAATCATTTCTCGATTCATAATGATATTTCCAGGCCTGTGTTTGTCATCTCCCTCCATCCCTTTTATCACCATTTTAAATCGTTCCATTCATTTCACCGAACAACTCCCGTGGCCTGATTAATTGCCTGTAAATAAAGATTCCAGAGCACCTAAACCACCAAGAGGACTCATTTATGTTTGGCAAGAAGAAAAGCTTTGGAAGGATCAATAGACAACAAGTGGCAACCAAAGGTTATGTTTTTGTAAGAAGCTGCACGAGCAGTTCCCTCTGGACAGGAGCAGAAAGGAAGCTGGAAGAGGATCCATTGCCTCTCCCAAGCAGTTCTGTGGAGCTGCTGCCAGCTGGCAGCCCTGCCTGCCTGCCCTGCCTGCTCCTCTCAGGAGGAAAAAAAGGGATAAAAAAAAATAGTGCTTGCTCTTCATCTTACCAGACTCTGTTGCTAAAGAAAACTCGCTTGCTGCCCTCTTACAATGTAACTCCTAAAAGGTGAGTTTTAATTCTCCTCACAGAGGAATAGCTTCATCCCTCATTTTGGTCTTGCTATGGTTAAAATAAGTGACCTTGGATGTACAGTGCTCTCCCCCCTGGCAATCTCCCTTCTGCACTCTTTTAAGAAGAGGAGAAAAACAGAAAAAGGAGAAGGGGTGAAGTGTTTGAGTAATTCTGGTGTCTCGTTATGCTTAATCCACAGGACACCAAGCTGTCCAACATCTCCTGAGCCAGCACCTCTGGAATCAACCTTTCCCATCCTTTGCAAAGCCTCTGTGCTACTTCATAAAGTTTAGAGAAGAATCTGCAGCCAAATGGAGGCCCCAGGAGGAAGGAAGGCAGCACTGAGGGCTAAGGTTTCACACAGACTCTGAAGTCATGTCGCACACAGCTCCAAACGCTGCACAAAGGCCACGTGCCTCCTCCTATCCATGCCTCCAGCAGCATTTTCCACCAAAAAACCCCATCCTTACTGCTGGCTCTGAGGTGTGAGCCCTGGAATGCTGCAGTAGGAAGCACTGGGCTGCTGGGTTTCACCCTGAGGGCTCCAAAAGTGAGAGCAATAAATGCTGGCAGAGGAACACTGTGAGAGTTGAGTCACTTGGGGCAGTGGAGGGGCAGCAACAATCTCTGCTCCCTGTGAGCAGGGACAGGACTTGGAGCTGTGTCAGGGCAGGGTCAGGTTGGATCTCAGGGAAAGGTTCTTCCCCCAGAGGGTGGTTGGCACTGACCAGGCTCCCCAGGGCAGTGGGCACAGCACCAAGGCTGCCAGAGCTCCAGGAGGGTTTGGACAACACTCTCAGGCACAAGGTGGGATTTTGGGGTGTCCTGTGCAGGGCCAGGGGTTGGACTGGATGATCCCTGTGGGTCCCTCCCAACTCAGGATACTCCATGATTCATCCACACTCTATCTCCTTCTCTGCCATTCCCACGGCCTCACTTGTGGGTCTCCTGGACTCTCCCTGAGCAGTCTCAGACAGACAGACAGACAGATGCATCACAGGCTTGGCTCACAGGCAGGATTTCAAAGCTGATGACAAACTCTGAACCTTGCCCTACCCTGCTCTGCCCAGGGGAAGCTGTTGCACAGCTCTGCCAACTCCAGGCGAGGGTGCAGGTCTGGAGCCCAGAGCAGGGGCCGTGGTGCTGAGCCCCAGCAATTCCACACCAAAACACCTTCTGGGAGCTCCCAGAGGGCTTGACCCACGAAGTGGCACCAGGATACCCCAGCCAGAGCAGGAATCAGCTGAACCCCAAGGATTCCCTCTGCTGCCTGCAGGGTGAGGAGCCCACGGGCAACAAGGAACAACTCTGGAAATACCAGGACTATGAGAAAGCTGGAATGGGAACCAGATGCTTCTTCCTGGCTTTCAGCAGCCTCCCCTGCTTGCTTCTCCCCTTTCTCTGCTTAACAGGGTCCCAGGTCAGGGTGCTTAGGAAGGGCAAGGAAGGAAAACCAAATGCTTTCCTAAAGCTGATATCACCTTCCAGGCCGTTGTGCCTCCCCCACACTCCTGTGCAGTGACACCCAAACTGAGGGCACTCAACACTGCACAGGTTTATTCCCTCCTGTCAAAGTTGATGTGTTTCCCCAAGGTCATAAATATTACTAAGTTGGGTTGTTTTTTTTTCCCCCCTTACAATTCTTTCACATGTAACATCAGCTAAAAGCATCAGAGCGAAGGGTAAAATTAAAGAGAATTTCCAAAAGGTTTTGGCAAGTCTTCTGCACACAGCAGTTAGTTGAGAGGAGCCTCTCCTTGCCACACGTACAAGGAGTGAGCTGATAGCTACAGCTACTCTGAAACAAGCCAGGGGAACAAGGCTTGCTCTGTCACCACAGTGACTTCATTAAAAAAATGTATTTATTTTAGCACACGAAAATAATCATTTGCATTCCTGGGGCATCGAAGGAGAGAAGGAGCCGGGGCAAGGGGGGGGGAGAAGCAGGACACAATTTAACATTCCTCATCTTCAGAGGGAGAGATCAGCTTGGCCAGTAGGAAAGAAAACACCTCCTTTCCTTCCCCCACTCCCCAACCTTCCACCCCAGATGACAGGAGCCGCTCTGCCTGAATTGCTTCCAGATGTGGCTCCAGACTGAACGCATGGCCGGGCCTCTGGAGCTTTTGGGCTGCATGGAAATGGTGATTTTGCATTCCTGCCTCTCTCCTCCCCCACCAAGCAGCGCTGCCCTGAAAATTATACCAGTGCCACAGCCTTCGAGGTTCAGCTGCCAGCGACCCCTGGGTCTGCAGCAAAGGCAGAAAGGAAAGGCAAAAGCAGGAGGAAAAAAAAAAGAAAAAAGAAAGGGGAAAAACCAAAAAACAGCTAAAAAAGAGATTGATTTTGGCAGCTACCAAACCAGAATAGCCAAGAAAATCCCTACACAACCTTGCCCTTCAAGATAAGTGAGCTGGGTTTGACAACTGAATAGCTACTTTATACCAGCTTATTCCTTTTGAGTCGATGGCTCTCCAGAGATACCAGAGCCATCTTCTCTTCCATAAAACAGATTTTTGAAAGGCTGGGCCAGATGCTCCAATCCTGAATTAGAGAAGGCAGAACTCATGACTGTAACATGCTAATCCACAGATAAACATCCACCCATTCATCTCCTCCTCAGTGGTACCCATCATACCAGTAATCCTCTGTGCTTCCACCTCTGCTATAGACTGGACCCTCCAGCTCCCTTGGGCCTGGGAAGATGTTCTCATGTTGGATGATGATGGTTTTGATCAATTCATTGACATGAGCCTGGCAAGAGACCTGGTCGTGGCCTTCAGGCACTGACATCAGCGTTGGCCCAAAGCAAATGGCTAAATTGTAGGGATCCATCATGTTTTCTTCACTGAACTGAGATAAACTGCAAAAAAAAACACAAGTGGGAAGGAGGGTAAACAGCAAACATCATCATCATCATCCTCATCCTCCTCTGCTGCAGAACACACAGCTGAGCTCAGAAGGTTTGCTTTGGGCTTTCTGCTCTCTAAAGCTGATGAGCTTTAGCTGATTCAGGGACATGAATGCCCTGGATCCAGGTAAAAAATGAGATACTGATGGCATTTACAGAGAAATTAAATAGAAACCACAAGGGAGCTTGAAAGCTCAAGACTATGTGAAAAGGACTGAGTGCTGACTTTATAAGGGGAGCACATTAATCTCTGTCTTTATTCCTTTATTATTGCTGTTCTGAGCCCCAACACTCAATACCAGAGCTACAGATCCCCTCTGCCATGGATGTAAATGGAAAGAGAGCAGGTTCAGATTGGATATTCAGAAGAAATTCTTCCCTGGGAGGGTGGGGAGGCCCTGGCACAGGTTGCTCTGAGAAGCTGTGGCTGCCCCATCCCTGGAAGTGTCCAAGGCCAGGTTGGACAGGGCTTAGAGCAACCTGGGCTAGTGGAAGGTGTCCCTGCCTGTGGCTTTAAGGTCCCCTCCAACCCAAACCATTCTGTGATTCCATGATCTTGAGTCCCCATCCCTGGAGGGATTTAAAAGCCATGGGGATGTGACCCTTGGGGACACGGGTCAGTGATGGCCTTGGCAGTGCCAAGGGGGAATGGTTGGACTCCACAACCTTTAAGGTCTTCTATAACCTCAATGGTTCTGTGTTTACAGCATGTCCTGCAGCAGAGCCCTGGTGCTCCCAAGGACACTCACTGATTGAGGAATGCAAAGAGGTATCTCATCACAATCAGGGTGGTCTTCGGCAGGTTCAGCAGCACCTTCCGGACGTGCAGAGCTCTCTCCTGTAAATTATCCATTGCTGAAAGGAAGAAAGAGCACCAGAGTCATCATCCCACCAAACCCACCACCTGCCACTGGGTCCAGTGCACTGTGATGGCTCCCTTGGGCAGCAGAGCAGCAGCAGGAGGAAGGAATTTTGCCCATTTTTCGGGATGCTCCAGCGCTGCCTGGCACGGGAATGCAAAGGCTGCAGAACCTGCTGGCAAAGCCTTTGACAGTGAATGTCCCTGAACACGTGAAACTTCACTGCAAGTTCCTTCCCAGCGTGGGAGCTCTGGATGTCATCTGTTCCAATAGTTCTGGCACAATGGTTCCTTCAAGTCTTTGCTTAGAAAGGTGGGTGTTTTAAAAAAGAAACTGTGTAACGCTCAAAAGGAAAATTAACATAGTTAAAGGGTGAGGCAAAAAGGCTCTGTGTGCAGCAGCCTGCTGAGAAATAAGTGGGCAGCATAAATCATCTGAGAAGGGAGAAGTTATTTGGAAGCGGATTTTACTTTTCCCCCATAATGTGAACTCAACTCCGCAAATGCATTTGTCAGGAGCAGAGAACCACGAGCCATTTCAGCAGCAGTTATCTTCTGCTCCACTTCAAAGGCTGCCACCACAAGGGCCATTCCTCTGCTTGGACAATAGAATCATTCTTCAGTTTTCTGGAGGACATGGCAAGGGCCAGGCCGTTTCAGATGAGGTTGTTTCACAGAGGAAAAACCACAAACAACTCTCTGCCTACCAGAACCACCTTTAGAAACCACCAAAGATGTTAAAAGCTCGGCTGTGACTGCCCTGATGATTGATATTCTCTAACAGGAGTCAGAAGATGGTCCCTCGTGGTTACAAAGCTAAAAGGAATATAAGTGGTACCTTGTCAGCTAAGGAGAGCACACAGGAGCATGGCAGCACATCCAGGGAAAGCAGACAAGGCAGGAAGCCCTGCTGGTGATCCCTGCCTCTGACAGGGCCTTTCTGACATCTCCTGGTGACATGTCTTAAGAGATCATTTTACAGGAGTGAAGCTTTTTGCTTTATTCTATTCAAAAGAATCCCGTCACAAAGCCACTGCCTCACAAAAATCCCTCACACAGACCTTAAAATCTGCTCATTTCCATCTCCTTTGTTCATTCAGATCACAGCAAAGGATGGCTGTGACCAGGTAACTGCCCAGGCTGCCTAACAGAGGATGCCACTGCCACACGAGCCCAACCACAAAACCCTTATTCTGAAGTCAGGAAAAAAAAAGGGGAAGGGAAGAAAGAAAAGTGAGATATCAGAAAAAATCAGCCCTATTTCTTTTCAGCTCTTCATATACTTACTGACACAGGCAATCAGATCATGAAAGATATCCTTGGGGAAGAGTGGGTGCTCCAGCCCTCGAAAATAGAGCTTCAGGACTCCTGCTATTGAATCCATGTCGTGGTCATTCTGGTCCCCAGCCAAGGGATCTTCCCCTTCGTGGACAAGCAAAGAAAAGCAGGCAAGAAAAGAAAAAAATCAGAATACTGGAGAAAAGTATCAGAATACTGGAAGGATGCACCTCTGCAGGAGAAAAGGATTTATGTTAATCCCACCTACAACCAGCTCGAGGCAGAGAGATGGGAAGCTCTGACAGCAATCCCAGGAGACCTAGGACAGCTTCTCTCAGCCAGATTTCAGTGTGGCACCAGAGGTCCTGGAGCAATAGTGACACTCCAGGTATTTTGGAAGGGTGGGAACATCACAGACCCACCAGGGAGGTGAAATGTTCCACGAGGCAAACTCCCAACTGCAGCTCAGGTGGATGCAGGGGATGGACAAGAAGCATCTCATCCCTGGCTCAGCAGGATGCAGACGTGGGGAACTGGGGTGGGAACATTTCTGGGATAATTTGTTGCTGCAGAGATGCCACAGTTTGTCTGTATTACCAAGGAAAGATGCCCACTTAAGGAGTTGTCCCCTAGGGAAAACTCCCTATCAGACATAATTAGATTTAATGATGGGGCAATCCTCAAATTGAAGCTATATATATCCATTATGTGACTGAAATTACCAAAGCTTGCCTATTATCTTAATAACACACGGGATAATAAATGGGCCACTCCAAACTGGAGCATTATCCCTGATATTAACTGCCACCAAGGGCTCTGGATGAAGTAATAAAATGCAGGAATATTATTGTTAACTTTGGCAGTTGTGTATATCATTGGCTTTACAGAGACAAGTGAGAGGAACTAAAAAAAAAAATAAAATAATCCCCATTTTACTTCTGCATGTCAGTGCTGGAACAAGTGGTTATTTGGTTATTTTCCCAAGCTGACTGGTATTTCTTTATATAAAAAAGGGTCTGATTCTGATATCAAGCCTTTTCCTTGCTATGACACACATTTCTGCTTCCTCTGTTCGCGAGGATTTTAATCCATGGAGGTGAGGACAGGTGACATCACACACCACATTTCACAAATGTTGTTCATTAAAACATCTCTCTTCCCAAAAGCAGAATAAACTTGCAACGCTTAATTAATTACTGCTTGTCTCTTCCACCAGCAAGCCCAGGAACACACTGACTCTGTTCTTTGAGAGTGATGCATTCAGGGGATTAACACAAGGCCTGTTGTTCCCAGTGACCCAGGCAGGACTGGGGAGATGAGCTGCAGGAACTGCCTGAAAAGCAGCTCCTCTGAACCTGCTCTGCCAGGGAGAACAGCCCAGCAAGGAGCTGATGAGTCAGGAGGCTCCCAACTGCTCTCTGCCTTTGGAAGGAATGGCTCTTTCCCACAGAAAATCAAATCTATTAAAAGCTATTGCAAATTAACGGCGCCTCGAAATTTATTCTCTCCCTCGCTGATATTTAAAATAAATGTGGCCAAGCTGTGCCTCAACAACGTGGAAAACACAAAATTTCATCCTCTAGCAGCCAATCTATTCACAAAGGGCTGGGGGGAGAGGGGAGGAAATTGCAGTTACACCTAATAATGAAATTCTCCTCGTCCTTTAGTGTTACAAACGATCAATAAGCTATCAGACATGAGAGAAGATTGAATTCAGAATATTTATTATACAGACACTCTACAAGGTACAAAGCATAAAACCAAACAACTGAGAATTCAAGGTTAATGAGCACTAGGGAAGCGTTTGGGAGACTCACTTCGAAAACACAAATATCAAAGGGATAAAAGAGAGCAAGCTGCATTCAAAACAGGCCATTTCAGGGCATTTAAACAAATTTAAACAAACATAGGTTTGGCAATAGTTTGTGAGATACTGGAATAGCTCTTCCTTACCTCTCTCAAATGCGTTTTTTATGTCGTTCACTTCAACTTGTGACCCAGACACCCGGAATATTCCTTCATGCTGCAAACCTGTAAGACAGCAAGAGATGCTGATAACAACAAGATAAGATAGATTAGACAAGGTGGCACCTTCAGCACCTACAGCTTATACAATAAAGGAAAGATAAGAACACAGGTAGATTTAAAAGCCACTTCTCTCTTCTGTCCAGGCATGTACAGAATATGTAAAACCAGAACTCAGCACAGACAGAACAAATATTAACCCTTCTTCCTAAACCACCACAGTAACTGGGCTATAACAGCCATGTTATCTTTTATCCTGGGGGGACCCCCAAAGGATTTTAAAACCCAGAGAAAGTCATAAACTAATGGTGTATCAGCCAGGAGTAAAATATGGCCAATGCCACGAGGATGATGTTTATTTTGCAGGAGCGATTCCGCCGAGGCCTGGAGCAAATCAGCCACTTGAAACGGAAGCATTTAATTACTCCCAGCACGACCCACGGGCTTAGGACAGGCTTAAAGACATTCCTGCTAAAAAGTGAGCATTAGGAATGTCATTTTTTTGTCAAGTAGATGGGATATTCCAATACACTCCCATCAAAACAGTTTTGTTGGTACGCGTAAGATGAGCAACAACTGCCACAAATCAACTCATGAGCAAGGGAAAGCAGCTCTCGTTCCCTCCAGCCTTTCCACGGTGGACTTTCTGAAACCAGGAATGCTGTAATGTATTGGTTTTACTTATAACAGAATCATAGAATATCCTGAGCTGGAAGGGACCTACAGGGATCATCCAGTCCAACTCCTGGCCCTGCACAGACACCCCAAAATCCCACCCTGTGCCTGAGAGCGTTGTACAAACCCTCCTGGAGCTCTGGCAGCCTTGGTGCTGTGCCCACTGCCCTGGGGAGCCTGGTCAGTGCCCAACCACTCTCTGGGGGAAGAACCTTTTGCTGAGATCCAACATAACCCTCCCCTGGCACAGCTCCAGCCATTCCCTGGGTCCTGTCCCTGCTCACAGGGAGCAGAGATCGGAGCTGCCCCTCAAGAGGAGCTGCAACCCCTGATGAGTCTCCCCTCAGTCTCCTCTCCTCCAGCTGAACAAGGCAAGGGGCCTCAGCCACTCCTCCTATGGCCCCTCCAGACCCTTTCCCATCACACATATCCATAATAATGGCCATCAATAATAAACTCTCCTGGATGCACCTGTGGCCTCTCCCTCTCCACCCTCCGAGGGGTTTTAGCCCCATTGCAGTGTGTGGCTCACCACAGCTACAGAGGGAAGAAACAATTCCCAGTATGGAGAAAAAGCAGAATGAAAACCACATTCATCCCACACCTACACAGCCAAGCACTTGGAAATGTCAGGCCACCTCCAGCAAATCCATCCCTGCGTGTGAGTGCGTCAGGCAATCGCACCAGTTCTGCTGCCTCACGTGGCTTTGCTGTGTAAAACACATTCCTTCTGATTCCAAACTGTGTCTCACACCATGGCCTGACATTCTGTGCAGAAATCCGTCGAGTCTCTTGGAAAATCCAAGCTAACCCAGCGATATGAGTCTGAAAAGTGCCATCTCCCTGATTTATCCTGCCTCAGTTCCCGCTGCAATGTGGTTTAAATGATTTTTTTTTCCACCAAATATCCAGGTATGGTCTTAAAGAAGGATTACAGCACTTGGGATGATCTTCCAAGTGATGATGAGAATGGGACTCTAGATTATAGTTTCTAAAATGGTGATGAAACAAGGCAAATGAAACAGGACCTACTACCTGGCCCTGCATCTTGGGTAATGAAGATAAATTCAACCCCTTTCTACATCTGTTAATTAACAGCTGTTCCACACACTACTAACAAATGATATCAATTAAAAATGAAAACAAATTACAATAAATGTATAGCATTCAAGGCTGTGAAGTTAACCTTCAAAACAGGCATAAATCATCTCGCTGTGGCAGTAAGTGGGCAATTAATTCCCCACTTGACCTCCTACATTCAAATACTCAGAGTATTCCTCCCCCTCTGGGAAGGGGATGATTGTTGTTGGTGAAGGCCACACTTCAGGGCTCAAAGGGAGGTGAGTGGAGGTGAGGAATGAGTGGTATCTATGGATGGGAACCTTATTTTGCAAGGAATAAAGGGATATTGTGGGAAGAACAACATTTGCAAGGTCAGTTATTTAGAGAAGTGATTATACACATAATAACCAGCAATGCAGCCAGAAAGTCAGAGCCATTTTCCTCATGTTGCAATCTCTGGGATTGCTCTGCACAAGCAGCACGTCCTGAGCTGCTCTGAACATTTTTTATAAGGCTTCTACATCACTTCATTTTATAGGAATGTCCCAGGACACCTTCAATGCCCCCAAACTCACCGTGCCTGCTGATGAATCGGATGCAGCTCTCCACGACCAGGGGAATGGCTTGGGAGGAATCCTGCCCAAAGAGACATTTAAAGAGCAGTCAGAATGTAGAGATATTAAAAGTGAAGAGGGGAAAAAAAAAAAGATAAAAAATAAGAAAGGTTTGACTCTGCACACCGACACCATAACTGGCTCTCTTATATAATAATTTCCAAGATCCTAAAAACTACAAATTAGCACCCCAAGACAGGCTGTGTGAACTGAAATTCCAAGCCAAATTTTAACTTCACAGTATCAACAAGAGATAATTCTGAGTTTTGCCTATCTCAAAGAAACACATTTGAGCTCATTGGGTACCAAAAAGCAACAGATTATCCCCACAGCCAGGGACACAAAGCCTGCCCCTGTAAGTCTTTATTACATAAAGGCACAACAAGTGAGCAGTTACAGGTTTAATGGCATTGCAGTGGGATTCCAGGGAAAATAAAGGGAATGGGGACAAAGAGACAACAGCACGAACCCCATAAACCATGGCTTGTCCAAACAGCTCAGGGCTGTTTGGTGTTTTTGGTTCCAGGTCTTTCAGAACAGGGAGTAAAATTAATTTTATATTTTATCAGGGAAAATGAAGGAGGTTTTGAGTGATTTCAGCCACTGAACGAGCAGACACCACTTGGACAAACCTGAAAAGGTCCATGGAAGAGAGGGAGGGATGAAAACATTTGTTTTCCACCAATCCCCCCCCCCCAGCCCTGCTTCGTTACTGAAGGAAACCTTAATTACCTGCTTCCTCACGGTGGAGCTGCGCCTGCCACTGATGGGTCAGAACGAGCCAGGGGGGTGCAGGAGGGAAAAACCAGAACACAAACAGTCAGGATAATCAGAACACAAGAGTCAGGATAATCCCCCACCATCACCAGCTCATTCCTTTCGCATTCCCAACCACCCGCGTTCCTTCGGGAGCAGGGAAGGAGCCAGATATCCAAGTCAATCACAATGACGAGGGTCTCCTTCGATTTATGGAACTCCAGGAAGATTTTAAGCGACTTTAAATCACTAAAAAACCCCGAAACAGCCGCCAGGGAGCTCCGACAAAAGATTGCCCTTGACGTTTTAATTCCGACCACGCGGAATTCTGCGGCACAAGAGCTCCTCGGAGAAGATGAAGTTTGATATAAATTGCACTGAGCTGCTCCCTGGAAGAGCGAGTGGGAGCAGCCTGGTTCCCACTGTGCTTTTAACAGTTGCCATTGAGGAGTCTTTATTACAGTTTTGATAAGATTTCAAATAAATAAATAACACAAAGCCCCCTCCAACACCAGCACGCATCAGCCAGGCTAAGCCTCTTCTGTCTGCTCTCATTTATTGATGTTGGGGGACATTAATGGCAGAAAAAAAAAGGGGGAAAAAGCCTTGCTTTGCCAGGATTTTTTTCCCCCTCAAAATTTATTACTGGGGTTTAAAATTCCTTTAGTTTCTTGTAAAAATGAAGCGAGAGAGATAATAGCGGAGAGGCCCTAATGGATCATTCCAGCCAATTCCCTGCCAGGGCAGATGGCTGTTGAATTATAAATAAGGGGATCAGAAGTGTGATTTTTAAAAGGACTGTACGATGTGTTAATTTGGGGGGAAATTCCTTCTATAAAAGAATCAAAAACACTGAACGAAAAATAAAAAAAATTAAAAAAAAAAATCAGATTCCACGGGCTGTCACAGACAACAAGGCCCATTTTAAACTATTAGCAGGACTGGTTCTTTGATATTTAAAATTGTTTCATGATGAATAATATTTTATTATTACAGATGTCAGGGTCTAATTAGGACCTGTCAGCTTTGCTTTGCTGTGAGGAATGTGAACAGTAGTAATGGCTCCACACTGGTAGTAATCACCTTCCTTTTGTTAACGAGGCAGGATGATGCACAGCCCCTGCTCCAGCTCCTCATGCCCAGCAGAGCCCCCTGAATCCATCAGTTTGGGGATGGAGATTTGTTATGTTTTACAAAAAGCCCATCAGGAGCTTGGTTATGGTTCTGCAATTGGTCCTAATTATAAATTAAAAGTTTATTCTCCACCATCTCCCTGCTGTTGGATTCAGCTCCATGGCACAGCAGAGTGTCAAGGGGATAAAGGGTTTCCCAATTTATGTTACTCAACTCCAGGCAGCAACCATGTGGATAAACCCCTGAAGACTCCCTGGGCCCAACTCTCTTAAAGAAACAGGAATTTGTAAAAATTCCTGTTGTAAAAATCTCCGTCTCAAAAATATTCTCTGGGTTCTCACAATGGTTCTGCACTAAATGCACCAGGGCAAGAAAAGGAATTTGCTTCTGTGTTGGCTCAATCCATGTCCCATCCCTGGAATTGTTCAAGGTTGGACAGGGCTTGGAGTAACCTGGGATAGTGGGAGGTGTCCCTGCCCATGGCAGGGCATGGAATGAGATGAGCTTTAAGGTCCCTTCCAACACAAACCATTCTGGGATTCGACTGTATGGTTCTAAATAATTATCACTTTCTATCAGATACACATCCTGGGCTGGTCACTGATCTAGAATGATAAATTTGCACCAGATTTTCCTTAAAAATCTAATTCCCTGAGCCACACTTACCTGGCTAGGGCGCAGTCAGTCCGCTGACCTGTCAGGAAGACAAAGAAATCCAGCATTAGGAGAGAGGAATGAGAAAATGCTTTCAATACCTCTGCAAAGCCAGTTTGGGAAGGAGATGGAGGAGAGGAACCACTGGTGTCAGAGGGGGCAGCTCTGGGAGCTGGACAGTGGCTGATCCCCCCCAGGGGTGGTGCTGGAGTCACCACCAAAGCCCATCCCTGCTGGCACAGCTCCAGCCAGGAAACACAGCTGCCCAGTGACTCTGGCTCTGCAAAGGATTGTTCTTGAAAACCAGTTCCCTGTGCATTCTAATTGTTGATTTCTGCCAAAAAAACTGGGCTTGTCAACCTCTCCCTCCCACTTCCCGGGGGGGATTGGTGGGGCAAGAGATCCTGCTTTATAAAGCCCCTCAGGAAGACTGAAAACATTCCCAGATTTGTTAGTCCACAGACTGAACGTGCTGGCATTAAGCTATTTTGAGAGACAGACAGTTTAATGGTATTTTCCACAAACATATTTATAAAAACATTCCATTAACTTGCACTGAGTTTGCAAGGAAGCAGCCAAGGCTCGGGACTTGCTAATGCAGCATCATCTAAAACATCACAACAAGGAGGAAAACGAGGATGTGCTGCTGGGAATTGCACAGACCAGATCCTTTGCTGGTCTAGATTATCATCAGTGAAACCACACTGATTCCCAACAGCTGAAAATCCACCTTCCCTCCAGTTGTCTTCCTGCTCCTGGAGAGATGGAAGAACCAAGGAGGGAAACAGCTAATTGCTGATGGCTGACAATTAGCTGAACACATCTTGATAGCCACTTCTCTCTCCCCACTTAAAGCCAAAACAGTGCATAATTTACATGAAAATGTTATTCTGAAGCAGAATTTCCAGCCATCTGTCCCGTTTTCATCATAGAATATTCATATATATAGAAATTACATGGCTGTGGCAACATCAAGGGGCTCCTGCATTAGGGTGACAAATGTGTACAGTAGGCAGGGACATAATTACTTGGAGATAGGAAAACTGCTGCTATTTTTATTGCTGGAACTTGTCATCTTTAGATTAAGGCAATTTGCACGACGACTAATAAATGTCACCTGAGGATGGGGGTAAAGAAGAATAAAAATTACAACAAACCCCTGAATTTTCCAGGCACTGAAGACATGCAGCTGTAGGAACATTTTTTTTTCAGTAAAGCTTCTAAACGTGCTCTGGGGACGTGTGAAAAGGGATTTTATTTGCCCATTTCCCAATTAAGTGACATTTTATGGGTAAGTCTAGGCACAGTCCCCAGTTTGTCCCATTAACCTGCTCATGTGGTTTTGGAAATGGGATGCACCTCCCTTTCTCAGCTCCTTGTGATCTCACAGATGACAGAAGGATTTTTTTTTCAGAGGCTGCTGGAGCTCCCCCTGACACTTTTTGGGTCCCTTCACAGAGCCACTAAGAAAGTTCTGGTTTGTGAAGCAAATGAAGAAAACAGAAGCAGCCTTTAAATCTACATAGCAATACAGAAATCACATTTAATTTCCTCTCCTTTTCCCCCCCACCACAGCTTGAGCTGGGTTCAGGGGGCAGGCAGGTTAAGAGGAAAGAGGTCTTGGAATGCAGAGGTCAGCTATGATCCAGGAATGTGATTAGTCACAGGGGCAGCACGGGTGTCCCTCAGAGATATTTAGAGGCAGAAGAAAAATACCCCAAGGACACAGAACTTTGGCTTCACCCACCCTTTCTCTGGGACAGCTGAAGGGATGAACAACTTTAACCAATAAAGCTCAAACCAATGCACATCCTTGCCTTGCCTTCCAGTGGTTTGGGTCTGATAAACACAAAACTCTTTAATTACCATGGCAGTAAGTATTTTAGTTTTATAGTGCATTTTTAAACTGAAAGCAAAGCACTTCAAAGCCCACATGCTGGTTAAGTTTTCATCCACAAGATTTGCACACCATAAACTGTGGGGAGCCCAGCTCAGTTACACATCACAACACCAGCCCTGCTCCAGCACAAGAACCCAGCAACCAGTCGAGCCATTTTTTTTTTTTTGACCTGACATTTAGACTGTTAAAACCTTCTCCTCTGCAAATACAAGGCAGTCAGGTTTCTATGGAAACTTGGATGCATAGTTTAAGTGTTTTTGGCCAACAGGATTTGCCCATACCATGAAGGGAAAGAAATCTTCCTTTGTTCTGACACCAACAGCAAATGCATATCCAGTTCTGGCTGTTGCCCTCTAGACAACATATTTTAAATGCTCTGAAATTTGCTTGTTATGCTCCCAATAAAAGCCCAGGCTCACGTACACTGGTTTGGTTTGAACTCCCAGAGGTGAGAAGCAGCAAAACTACCACGGAAGTGAAACTTCTGACCAGGCTCTGTCAGTACTTCTCAACTTCACCAGCAAACTGTAAATCCCGAGGTTTGCCCCGGTGCAGATCGTTAAGTGATGAGCAGGAGGTGTGTGAATGGGGAGAGGATGGAGGAGGGGGGCACACGCTTGGCTGCAACCATCAGCCGGGCACTTTAGTGATTCATTAAGCATCTTTTGTTCATCAAGCAGCCCCGTAGGTCACCGGGCTGCTCCATCGCACAGATCAGGGAAATAAATTCATAAAACATGAGTGTGGCCACTTTGCAGCACTAATGCAGGGCTGTCACACTCAGCTGACTGATGCAATAAGTGCAACAGCCTGGCTGGGAGCAGGGATGGGGGTCCCAGACTCACTTTCTCCCAGGGTCTTCTGGAGGAGGTCGTGCTTGGCTTGGAGCTTCGTTATCAGGTTCCTGCCTTCCAGGTACTCCTTCATTTTCTGGGAAGGTGGGAAAAAAAAAAGGATAATGAAGAGACAATTCACATCTTTTTTATTGCACCTTCATGTCCCTTGATTCTGAACACAAGTACAGAATGACACTGAAATTCATAGTTAAAGGATGAGTTAAGTCCTGGTTTATCTCTCTGGGCAAGTCTGAAGTTCAGCCCATCCATATTTTGAGTCCAACAAAGGTTGGACTTGATCTTGAAGGACTTTTTTCCAACCTTAACGACTGTGTGATTCCCTGTCTGCAGCGCAATTCCCATTGTTCCACCGTGGAATCAGCTGAATGTTTGGCATGTTTGAAGCCATCAGAGGAGCTGTCACCCATCCCTCTGCAGCCAGGGGGGGAAAAGGAAATGCAGCTGAATGAGCAATCTGTTCTAACCAACTAAAAGGCTGCTACTGTGCTTATTCTCTCACTTAACCTCCCTCACCCCACTTTACTTGTCAAATGCTGTGGCTGCCTCCTCGCTGGATGATGCACAGGGTTGCAGGGGGGCCACGGGACAAAACAAATAAAGGTATTATTTAAGTTCAGATCTACTCCCTCGGTGAAATATTGTACAATCATGAAAGGGTTTTTCCCCACTGCTTCCTGATTTTTCACAGCTCTGCAAATGCTGGTTTTTCACAGGTCTTTCATCTCTTATTTTTGCAGTTCAGAGCAGTTTTTATTTATCTTCACTGAGCTGCAGCACATAAAATACAGTAGCTGTCCGTGTTGGAACCAGGACATATTTACACTGAGAAAAAACACAACTAGCACATAATTCTTCCAATACCACAGAGGCCATTCTTTAGAATCATGAGATTCTAAAACCACTCCATGATATTTTAAAGATTGAGCCAGCAAAATCAACACAAAGAGAGGATTCTCATTTAATAATGAAATGTTCTTCTTATCATTAAATCCTCAAATGATTTGGGCTGGAAGGGACCTTAAAGATCACCCAGTTCCATCCCCTGCCAGGGGCAGGGATACCTTCCATTAGCCCAGGTTGCTGAAATCCCTGTCCAACCTGGCCTTGGACACTTCCATTGGCTCTTCCCAATTCTCTCCACTTTCTCCCAGTTCTGGCCTAGGATTGCCAAATTAGACTGCAAATATTTAAGGTAAAAAAGAGTATTTTTAGCAATGAGAGTGCCTGGCCCCTGCTTGTCACAACAGCAGCCTCTGTGCAGGATGTAAAGGATCAAGAAGAAATATATACCTAAATAAAGAAAGAAATATATATATACACCATGGCAGTACTGAGGGTAAGGGAAAACCTTCCAGGAACAAACGAAGTTTCCCCTGAGGGGTCTCCAGCCGTGCTGTGCACTGACACAACAAACAAAAATGGCTTTAATTAACTGCCAAAAGCCTGTGTTTTATGTCCCTTTGCTTGACAACATTGGAAGAAACATTTCACAAGAATTAAGTCCCTTTGGAGAGTCTCAGCATTTCCTGCTTCCTATATTAACACTTCAATTTTTTTCTGTTGTTGTTTTAGAAGAAAACAGGAAGCATGATCACAGTGACAAAAAATTAATCACATTGCTTTTGGAATTACCCCGTAGGACCAAGGCCTAACTATATAATCTTGCTCAGTTAAAAACTTTATATCAAATCTTGACAGAAGAAAACACTTAAGAGCTAAAGCTGCAAAAATAACCAGAGAATCTGGGGGGGGGGGGGGGTTTGAGGATAAATCTGGTTTGGGAGGTCTCAGAATCACAGGTGGGTGAAGGGAGAGGAAGGGTTGGAAGGCTCAGCTCAAACAGTTGCTTAAAGATCAGCAGATCAACTTGATTTGGCAGAGTTAATCTCCCCTTTGAAGCAGATCTAAGCACTTAAGCTCAGCCTAAGGAGGCTGCAGGCAGGGCAGGGCAGAGACACAGCGCTGGGACTCCCAGTGCTCTGGCTCAGGTCATGTTAAGAACATCACCTGCCTGGGATTGTACCAGGGAATGTTTTAAAGGAGAAAAAGAGAAGGTTCCTATTCAGTGCAGTATCTCAGGAGATTTTACTCCTATTTCCTCGTGCCTGACATTCTGTACTCTGCCTGTTGCAAGGATGCTTATCAAAAGTAAAAAAAAGTCATTTTAAAATAAGGCTTCGGGCTTTGTTCAATGAGTTATAAAGATGCATTAGCACTGGATTTTTGGCATAATAAAAATAGACAAAAAATAATAATCAAGCTACAGGAGAACTCCTAAGGATTCCATTCCTGGCAGAGCACAGCTGGAGTCAGACTAAGTGCAATCAGAACAAAGCAGCAGAAACATCCTCAAGTCACATTATTTCTGCACTGTGACAATTAAGAGGTGAAGATTTGTTCTCAGTCAGAGCTGGGGAGCATTTTGCACCCAGAAAACCAAGCAACTTGGACACCTCAAGCCCAAACTCACTGCAGGATTTTCCCAGGGAGAACCAGTTGTCAGGTGGGACATGGGACGAAGTGAAATGCAAACCAATTGTACCCTGGCTATAAAGAAAACCCATTTCTGCCACTGTCCCACATCCTGATCTGCCTCCAACCCAGAAAGCTCAGCAGTTTTATCCCCTCTCTACACCCTCCAAGAACAATTCACCCCAGGTATTTTCAGGAGAGGGGGAACTGGATCTGACTGACCCCGGGCCCAGTGTCCCACTGACACCCCCAGCACGACACTGCTGCAGGACTCATTGGCAGGGAGGCTTCACATCACACTTCAGACCCGTGGCTTAAGGGTTTGCTAATAATAAACTCACATTAATTCTAAAGCACTTCACAGAATGAGCATTGTTCTGGCTCTTCACCTTCGCGAAGGAAAAAAAAATAACATTTTGTCCGAGGACTAAAATTACCCCGTTTTAGAGGTAAGAGAATTAAATCATTCATCCCCTCTCCACTCCTCAGGTGGGGCCGAGTGCCAGCTGTGTTATGATTAGCAGCTCTGACAGCTCCAATTCCAGGAAGCAGGTCTGTATCCATGGCAGCAGCAGCCACATCCCTGGATTTCGGCTCCCTGAAGTCGCTGCTGCTTCCCTGCTTCAGCCACCTGCATTAGCTCAGTGCTAAGTCAATCATTCTTCTGCTTTCCACTCACACAGGGAAGTTTTAAGCTTCTATTCTGAATACAAATCTTCCTTCAAAGCCCAACAACACCCCCATCAGCGTGCAGGGATGTGCCTCCAGTGGAAACACAGATTATTCCAGTGTGGAGATACTACAGTGAGTATCTTCAATTAAATTCCCATCACTGCCTTTACCCCAGAGCTCTGCCCAGCTAGAAATGCACTACGTGGAATTTCCAGCTTGAGTTCCATTAATATGGAATGCTCTTTTGAATCAGTGTTTTTCTTACAGTTCATATCCCTCAGCATTTTAGCACATTATGAGGTAAAAGGGGATTGAAATCTCAGTTCTGCTCTGCACTTTGTTTTCATCCCCTACAAAGAGAAATGTCTCACCCAGCTCTGCCCTCAGCCTCGTTAATACTCATCTGAGCATTTCCTCAGACACTGAAAAAGCTGCTCTTTAGAGATTCAAAGCTTGAAATCTTTATCAGGGATATTTATAAGCCTGGTCAATAGCAGATCAATCCAGCACCTGATCAGGCTGGTTTAGGAGGGTCTCTCTAACTTAACACCACGAAACAGAAAAATATCCCCTCCAAATTAAGCCCTGGGTTCCTTCTCCTATTTGAACTTACAATAGCCCCTCTCTAGAGAGGGAGTGCTGGGAGTTCAATTAAAAATCACTTTTCTAGTTCCATAACCCTGGGCAGGGTGGTCAATCCCTTCTTAATTGAAGCCGTTTCTCCACCCGCTTCTCTCAATAGCCACTTTCACCTTCTACAAAGGATTTTCAATATTTGTAAGTCAAGGCCTGATGAACCATCCTGAACCATCCAGCTACTGCAATTTGCACAGAAAATTCAGACTTTTAATAATTCTGGGAAGAAGAAGTGAAGGATATTATCTAGAGCAAAAGATGCCCAAAAGGAATGACAAAGGAATAACCAGGATAAGAGCTGTGATTTTCATCTGCTAATCTGATATATTTTGAAAATCAAGCCAAATTCAACAGTTTAACATAAATCTGATTAAGAAAAAAAACACATAGTATGGTATGAAAGTCAACATCAGAAAGCTCTTAGCATCTTGTAAAAAGCACTGACTTAGTGAAAAGCTGTGAGCTGGAGTTGTAAGATGATAATAAAAAATGAAAGAGCTAAACATCCTTTTAGCTTCTATTAGTTTTGAAAATTGATATTTACAAGCTATTAAGTTCTTTCTCAGACAATTCCTTTTCAGATGCAGAAGAAATCAAATTTTACACTATTTATCCACAGACTACGTTTGCATCAACAAAGGGATCCCAATATATTTGCAGAGACTTGAGAGCACGCGTTTTAAAAAACCCAACGTGCTTCCTCTGCTTGCCCAAAAATCAATGACAGAAGTGTTTCTGTAAGACAAGAGCATCATTTTGCACTCTCTGGTGAGTATAATTCTAAATAAATCACATTGAAAATAGAGAATCACAGAATGGTTTGGGTTGGAAGGGACCTTAAAGCTCCTCCAGTTCCATCCCCACACCTTCCACTAGCCCAGGTTGCTCCTACCTGGCCTTGGACACTTCCAGGGATGGGGCAGCCACAGTTTTTCTGGGCAGCCTGTGCCAGGGCCTGCCCACCCTCACAGGGAAGAACTTTTTCCCCAAAAGAAAAAACATTCCTAAGCTCCTAAAAACGAGCCCCTTACAGTGAAGTAGAACTGCTCTGTCTCCTGCTGGTTCGCCCTTCTCTTGGCAATGCTGGGTTTGCTCATGAAGGTTTCTGAGACAGTGGATTTCACAGACTCCATGGAATTGCTGTACTGGAAACAGTCCGAGACATCAAAGTCCTCTATGGTGACAATGTCCTGGATTGTCTGGAGAGTGGCTTCCATGGTCTTCTTAACCTGCCCAGCCAGAAGGAGAGAACTTACAAGTGAGGACAGCACATTGTGTGTAAACAGGAGAGGCAGCAAGTGCCCTGGAGCACTTTGGTAATAAACAGATATTACTGGTTTCACGTCCTGATGTTATTAAGGTGTAAGTTGTGCTCATTAACAGCACAGCCAAGGGCTGGCAGCACCCAGAACCTGCCAGAAGCAGGAAATCAGTTGTGATCAGGAGCAGATGCAAAGACATTCAACCTCAAAGAGTGTGGAACAAAGAGGATCTGATTGTCCTCTGTAACTACATCTACCGGGCATCAAATGTTGGATGTTACAAGCAAGACTTTGCTGCACTTTTCATTTTTACCGAGGGTAAATCTAAATCGACTTCCTAGACATAAAGGAGTTGCAAATTTTACCCAAGGAGGATTAAAACTTCTTGAACACAGAGGTGCAGAGACAGGCCATACCACTGATGTAGTTTTCTCATCTTAAATGACCAATTAAACAAAAATCACTCTTACCCCAGGTGATGCAAATTCACTGTCTTCACTTCAAAACATGAAGTTCCTCTTTTCCCCTTAGCTATCCAAATACAACTTTTGCAACACAGCCAAGGGTGGGGAGAAAGACCCATGGAGGTATTTGAAAGGATCCTCTCCACACACCCAGCTTCCGTGTGGGATCACACACTCACGAACTGCTGGCTTCAACTGCCTCAGCCTTGAATTTTAACACAAGTCTTCATAAAAGAGGATCACAGCAACAAGATTCTGCCACAATTAGTTCCCCAGGATGGACTGGAAGTGGGTAAGAGGGTTGTTGATTTTTGGTGGATTAACTGACCTCTTCATTTTCAATCTTCAGCGTAGATAACCTGGACTGCAACTGCTGACACCTCTGCACCAACTCACTCTGGACTGGCTGCTGGGCACACAGCTGGGACTCCTGGGAGGGAAACAGCACAGGGAAAAAAACCACATCATCAAGAACACTGCAATTAGTCATTCCATTATTATACACAACCATTTTCTGAAGTGCTCAACTTCAAAACTTTGCAGCCCTGGATTTCAACCAGTGGCAAAGGTCCTCCCAAACTGCAGTTCCCTGCCTGGGTGGACTGAACAGTGAGCAGGAGAGAGGATGAGAACATCACAGGAGAACTAGGAAAAACGAGCTAATTCCAGTAATGTAAGCTCATGGTGTGTTTTGGAAGTCTGAAGGTGCTTTACCACAGACATTGGGCTAAATCATGTGGCAAATCAAGAAGAATTTGGTTCAATGTTTTAGCCAGGCATCCTGGGGCAGGGGTACAAGGGGATGAGCTCCCTCAGCTGAACCACCTGTACACCACAGCCACAGGCACAAGTCACCATTTAATAAATTCAGGGGAGTTGAAATAAAAAAAAGAACAGGTTAGGGACCTGTCAAACACACCAGAACACTGAGCTTCCCTGTGCTGCTCAGAATTACTCTTATTTCACAGCATGAGGCAGCTTTTCCCTTTAGTTTTGTTCTGGGTTTTTTTTTTTTGGGGGGGGGGCTTTTTGAAAAGAAAACACTGCCCTCACTGCCTGAGGCTATTTTTTTACAGACAGAAAGTGGAATGGGAGTTTTATCACACACATGCACTCACATAATATCATGTATTCAACTATTGCAACAAGAGCATCAGCTGCATTATAAATACTCATTTGGCCTTAAGAACTACCAAGATAAATGATTCAGTGAATGGGAGCTGCTGCTGAATGACTGACTGCAGGTAATTCTTTTTTCCTTCCCACGATCTTCCAGGATACCACCAAAGCACAAAAAAAAAAAAACCAGGAAAGGTCATTTGCAGTCTGAGGGTTTCCCTTAAAATGGAAGAGACAAAGAAGAGCCTGAAGCAGTGATTGTAATTCCTGGCTGGAAAGAAGAGGCTGCAAGGGACCATCCTTCCAGTCTGTGCTCAGTGTTCAGGGGATAATCTAGAAATCCAACCAACTGACCTAAATTAGCACACTGTGCATGTGTTCCCATTTAGAACCGGTTTCAGCTTGGGCCACTTTTTAAACAGTTCCCAGCTGAGTAACCACATCTTGATAAACCTATAAAGAGAGGGATTTTCCGTGCCAAAAAATGAAAGTCCTCTGACAGCCTCGTCTCACAAGGAAGACGCAAAAAGCACCACTGGAAAGCATTTGTGCTCCAAGATTATGCACCCAAATGCATCAAAAATCAGCATTTAAGTTTCTTTATGCTGTCCCCTCGAATTTCTAACTTCAGATTCTGTCTCAGGGTGCAGGAATTTACCTCATTTCATTTATTTATTTATTTATTTAACTCGTATGTTAAATGAAAGGTTAAAATGGAGCATCCTGTTCCCATTTAGCATTAAACCAAATTGAGCATTTTCATCTTCAGTACCTCTGACGGCCAAAAAAGAGCCAGCAAAATTCAGACATCCACACCAGGAGCCTCTGCTTAATCTTTACATCACCTCCCCTTTCTCAGGCTCCCCTGAACCTCCCAAACCCAGAGCCAAACAGGTGGCCTTGGACTGAGTGGGTTTATCTCTTGGAGGGAGATAAACAGGTGGAGCTGGGAGTGTTTACAGAGCCAGAGACCCTCTTTAACAGCCTGATCAGATGCTGGATTGATCTACTATTGACCAGGCTTATAAATATCCCTGATAAAGATTTCAAGCTTTGAATCTCTAAAGAGCAGCTTTTTCAGCGTCTGAGGAAACGCTCAGATGAGTATTAATGAGGCTGAGGGCAGAGCTGGGTGAGACATTTCTCTGTGTAGGGGATGAAAACAAAGTGCAGAGCAGAACTGAGATTTCAATCCCCTTTCACCTCGTGACGTGCTAAAACGCTGAGAGATACGAACCGCAAGAAAAACGCTGATTCAAAAGAGCATTCCATATTAATGGAACTCAAGCTGGAAATCCCATTGCGGAGGAGGGACCCAAACCCACCATGTCACCCATGTGTGGCTGGAACTCGAACTTCATGGGGGGGCAGAAGACGTTGTTGTACATCTCCATCAGCCTCTGCTTGTCGCTGTTGGCGTCCAGGTTCTCCACGGCGTTCTCGATGGCGTCCAGCCCCTCGTGCTTCGACTGCTCCAGGTTCAGCTCGGCCGACAGGAACGTCCTCAGGGCTCTGTTGAGGCTGGCGTGGTACCCCAGGTCACAGCACTGCTGGAAAAACACACCCCCCACACACCGAACCCCACGTGAATAAAGCGGAGGAACTCCGGGATGGAAATCGCAGCGCTTCCAAAGCCCGAAGCTGTGTAAGTCAAAAGTGCTTTTGGAGTCAACATGATCTCACAAAATGCTTCAGTGAAGCTGCATTTTCAACAGAGAACTCTTCTGTGGAAAATGTTGCAAATAGCTCTAATTTAGAGCTGGGGAAATTTACCTCTTTTAATGCAGGAAGCCTTTTATTTACAGTCTAAAGGCAAACATCTCTCTTTAATAGTTTTTCTAGGTGAATTAAGGACATGTTCCCTTGTCAGACACTTCATATTCTGCCTGTAGTTATCCAAGACAAACCTATACCAAATCTGTGCTGCTCTCAATTTTAAAGGAGGAACTTTTTGCTTTATAGAGTTGCAGAATTCCTCCTGAACAATATCTTCAAAACTAAGATATTCTGCCTAACACTGATCACCAGCAAACTTCCCTTCTGCACTTATTTTCAGCTTCAGAGCCTCTGCTGGGGATGAGCCCATTCCTTGTGCCCCCTGGCTTGGATTGAGGGATTCTCCCCATGGAAATGATCCAGTATCTCAGTCTTTAAGACCAGGTTGACCCTCTGTTTGGCTGCTGACATGAGGTTAAGAGCAGGCAAGGCTGAAAGATTAAGGTTGGACTTGATGATCTCGGAGGTCTTTTCCAACCTGGCTGATTCTATGATTCTAAGTGGATAACAAGTTGTGGTTATTTCAGCATCTTCTGGGTACCAGAGTGGTCCCACATCCCTCACTCAGTGCAGAGCCATCTTGCCCAGGGTCCTTAGAGAACCTCAACCTATAACCCCACACAAACCTTAGCACTGTGTTATAATTAATAACCAAGACAAGCACAGCTTAAACCATTATAACAGTTTGTGGAGCTTAAACAATTATAACAGTTTGTGGAATTTTCATGGAGTATTAGATATTCATTTCATGCTGTCAGAAAAAAGTAACCTAGAAGTGGGTGTGTTCAACAGCATGCCAGTGTATTCCCCTAAATTCTAACCTCACTTTTAGGGGCCCTGATTCCTATAAACACGCTCCAAAATCCTTAAATAACATTATGCAAAGAAAGAGAAAAACAAGGCACTACTGGTAAAACAAGACACAGGATTTGGATCATGTATAAAAGTTAATCTGCAACTAGATAATTCCACCCAAAACACGGAAAACTGCTTTATTCAGTGTACTTCAGGAAGGAGGAACATGACCTGGACATCCCAGGCCTGAGAACAGAGTCATCCAAAAGCCAAGCAGCCTTTGCTTGGGATGATTTCACTGCTGGGGTGAAACAGAGGAGCAAAAAAACTTTGAAGCAGAAAGTGGTTATGGTCAAGAATTTCCTGGCTATGGCTGACACCAGGGTGATGTCATTGGGATACAATCAAGCAGCTTCATCTCCACCAGGGCTGCAGAGCCAAGTTTTCATGTTTCAGAAGGGGAAAAAGGCACTTTTTCATTAACTGGTCAGAAACAGCCTGGATTTTTTCAGCCATCGAACTGAGTGAGCAAGAAGGAGCCCACCTTCTTGGAATTACAAGCAAGATTACACACACTAGGAGAATATCCAAAAAGAAAGAAAGAAAGAGACCATCTGCTTGATTGCTGTGCTGCTCTGTAAGCAAAATTCACATGAAATCTCCTCCTCGCCCATCATTTGGGTCTCATCACTGTCATTGTGTGCAAAAGCAAAGGAAAAAAAAAGGGGAAAAAGAGAAGGAGGGGTGGGAGGAGAGAGAAGAGAGAGGCTACTGGACCATTCCCTGCTTTCACAGAATTTCTGCCACCGGGTGCTGCTGGATGCCTGGTTCTTGTGCCAACAAGCTGTGGCAGGTGGGGAGTCTTGTAAAAAGAGCTGCAGTTGCTGGTTGGGCTGGAGGCAGAGAATTAAAGGACTTTACATTCAATCAGAAAGAACAAAACCAGCCAAAAAAAAAAAAAAAAGAAGAAAAAAAACAAACACCAAAAACAAAAGAGGCCTGATTGAGAATCTGCACGTGTGGAGGCAGTCTTGGATCAAGAGCCACTCACAGCTACTGCTCAGTGCACACACACTGCAGTGCTTCCCTGCAGTCAGGGAGAGGGGAAAGGCAGAGTTGGGCCAGTGCTGCAGCCAGGATTGGGATCAGCTCAGGTTTAACAGCAGCACTCACTCCTTTCCTCGGAATCACAGAGTAAGTTGGGGTTGGAAGGGACTTCTGGAGATCACCCAGTCCAACCTCCCTGCCAAGGGAGGGTCACCTGGAGCAGGTGACACAGAAACTCATCCAGGTGGGTTTGGGATGTCTCCAGAGAGAAAGAGAGACTCCACACCCTCCCTGGGCAGCTGTTCCAGGGCTCTGCCACCTCCATAGAAAGAAGTTCTTCCTCATGCTGAGGTGGAACTTCTCTTTTAGTTCATGGCCATCACTCCTTGTCCTGTCACTGGGCACCACTGAACACACCTGGCACCATCCCAACACCCCTTGGAAACATTTCTCCATCCTCCCTTCTCCAGACTGACCAGGCCCAGCTCTCACAATCTCTCCTCATCAGAGAGATGCTCCAGACCCCTCATCATCTTTGTGGCCTCTGCTGGAGCCTCTCCAGTAGCTCCTGGTCTTTCTTCAACTGTGGAGAGCAGAACTGGACACAATTCCTGCTGTGGGCCAGGAGGTTGTGCAGCCTCCCAGTGCTCCCACTCTGCCCTCCCAGTGCTCCCTTTCTCCAGTCACATCCATGCCCAGAAGGAGAGCGGAGCTGCTGCAGGAGGGGAGAGCACTGGGGGAACTGGGAGGTCCAAGGGCAGTTAATTTGTCACACCCACCTCAAAGCAAAGTGTTTTGGCTTTCTGCTGCTGAAGGCAGTGACAGAAAACACTTCCCAGCCCACTCCCCAACTCGAAAGGTTTTTAAAGTCCAGCGTTCCAGGTTTATAAATGTACCAGTCCCGCCGTCCCTTTTCTGGGTTATATAAATGTTTGATGGAATCATTCTCAAAGGAAATCAATTTTTTATAAGAATTTAATGATAACTCATTCAAATTCCCTTCCTGACATGACAGCTGATTAACCCTTTGCCAGTTAGCAGTTTTCAAACAGACCCAAACCAGAAGATTTAAGGAGAAAAAGCCCTTTGTTGTAAAATGCAATTTACATTTGGAAGGGAAAGGATGGGATCCTGGAGTAAACAGCAATGGAATACCTATTCCTAGAAGAGTAAAGTAAGTGACTCTGTGAGTCACTCACACACACATTTTTACCTTCTTTTTTTTTAAATCCTGTCCTAGTGACCCTTTTATAAATATGAGTTAATGCAAACTTCCCCATTACTGTAATATTTCATTAGCATCAAAGAGCTGCCTCAGTCCCCAAAGTCAGGAAATTCAAAACTACTGGGGTATGTCAGGAACAATTTATTGTTCTTAACTCTCAGTGAAGAATTAACTCCCTGTTACCCTTCCCTGCAACATGTGCTGTATAAACATGACAAGTTTAATGCTGTTGGGTCTAACACAATCTACTTGTAAGTAACTTTGAAGATTACTTTTATATTATATTTCAAAATTCAATATGATCAAATGATTAGATTGAGGGAAAGCATTACAGCCTGGCTTAAAAATCACATTTTTATTTAATTCAGACGGTTCAGATAACCATCACTGGTTATAATTGTTAATTTTCAATCCTTCAGGATCAAAGGCATTAATAAATCTATATTCCCTGTGCCTTGACAATGAGATAACTCAGCTCCATCTCCTGTGCTCCCAGACAAGTCCCACATTTTTCCATGCCTGAAAACAGAACAGATAATACTTTAATTTGAAAGATTATGAAAAAATTGTAATGTAGTGTTAAACTGAATGCTTGAAGGGGGTTAACACGGGCACGGACTCACCCAGAGCCACGAGGGCTCCTCTCTAGGAACAGTGACAAATCCCTGGAATGCTGGAGTTTGGCTCCTTGTCTTGCAGCACTGCCTGCCATGGCCCAGAGACAGCTGGGACTGTGAGAGAAGCACTCCTTTCCAAGCTGGATAACCCAGATTTGTCATGTCCTGCTTAAAACATCTCAGGTCCGTGCTTAGAAGCTGGTTTGGGCTTATGAAATCCAAAAGGATTCCTCACTGTTACCTGACTCATGAAAATACACTGGGCAGACAAAATGAACCAAGCACACATGTAGCATTTGGGGGAGGACTTATAGATGGGTTGTAGAAGTAAAAACTGAGATAACTGAATTAGGCTGATGGCAGGGAAGCGAATCCCAACCAACTTTTCAATGTAAACACGTACAAAAAGTTATCATTTGTAAAAAAAAAAAACCAACAACCCAAGACCGCACAATTAAGGTTGAGCAAACGTTAACCAAAACAGGGCTCCTAAAAAGGCAGCAGGAATAAACAAAGCAGGCCTCTTCAGTGCAGCAATTCTGCAAATCATGACATTTGGAAATAACAGTATTATTCAAGCCCACTCTCACTGACAGCCCTGACCTCCAAAGGACAGGTTTAAATCAACACCTGGCACAAGAGCACTCCAGGCGAGTTTATCATCAGCTGAATAAATGTATTATATAGACTGTTAGTTATTATAATAGCTGAGTAATTAATAGTGCTCTGAGTGCTCTTTATTGCCTATGTCTAGAGACACTTGTGTTCATTACTCCCTGCTCCTACTGCAGCTCCCTCCAGGCTTTGCAGCCGAGTGTTTCCAGCGGTGACGGCACTGGGACGGCCTTGGAAAGGGAACTGGATCCAGCACGAGGCAGTGACCCAGACACAGCTTGAGTTCTGCAGCCTGAAGGGGGAAGTTACATCCCTGTGAGTAACTCAGGATTCCCAACTGGTTTTTCTGAGTTTTAAAAGAGCAGAGATTTGATTTTTTTTTTTTTTTGGTGAATTTTACCAAAAGCAGAATTGATTCCCACTGAATACTGCAGGGTTTGGAATATATTCCCTCTGTGAGCAGTGACAGGACACAAGGGAGGACAGGACACAAGCTGGAGCTGTGTCAGGGAGGGTTGCAGGTGAATATTAGGAAAAGGTTCTTCCCCCAGGGGATGGTTGGGCACTGAACAGGCTCCCCAGGGCACTTAAACCTGCCAGAGCTCCAGGAGTGTTTGGACAACACTCCCAGGCACAGGGTGGGATTTTGGGGTGTCCTGCCCAGGGCCAGGATTTGGACTCAATGATCCTTGTGGGTTCCTCCCAACTCAGGATATCCTATGGTTCTCTGAATTTTTCAAAACAAGTGAAAAGCAACGTCAGGAAATGCTTCTGAACTCCCATTTCTTTTCCCAAATTTCTTCTACTGTTTCTACAGCTCAAAATCTCCTTTCAAAACGTGCTTCAGAGCTAAAATCTTGCGGGTTTGCTTAAAATAGCAAACAGAAAATGTCAGGCAACAGTGTGACACCAAAGCTGGGTTTCATTTTAACTAAGCAACTCCCTTTCCTTTTCAGAGCCACGTTTCTCGTCTCCCTGTGCAACGAACCGAGTTGGCCACCTAAGAAAAGCTCATGTCACAGCTCCATGAACAAATACCAGGGTTGGGGCCACCCTCCAAGCTGCCCATCCGAGCCTGTCCCTGCACAGCTGAGCAGAGGTTTCCAGCTGTGCTGGTGCAGAAGATGCTGAAGGAGGAGGGGAAGGTGTGAGGGCTCGTGGCAGTGACACCCAGTGCAGGCCCCCGAGCAGCAGCACTTACATCAATGAGATCAGACAGGTCATGGATGTAATACTTGAACACCGAGGCATTGGTGGCTTCCAGGGCCAGCAGATACTCATTCCTTGCCTTAATGGCCTTCAGCCTGTTTTCTGTGTACTTTGCTTGGCGCTAAAAGAGAAAGAAAAAGAGAATACAGCATTAAAAGAGGCGTAGCAGCATTCAGGATACTGAACAAACCCTGCTCTGCCCACACAGATTTTGTCCATTTGAATTCCAGTTTTATCAAGACTCCCAAGACTTATAATGTAGATTAATTATTTAGATGTGTTTAAGCATTACTGCACTAGGCAGCTCTGGACTGAAAGTCTTCTCTTGAGGGTGTGGGCTGGGGAAGATTAAGGAGAGAATGAAGGAACAAGGTGGGTTTATGAGCTTATTTATGGTCTAGCTCCAGCACTACCAGAAGACCACAGGCAGTTTGAGGGCTGCTGCAGGCAACCCATCCCTTCCAACAGAAGTTAGGCTTGAATTTGGTCCTTCCAGAGTCTAAAACCATTAAAAAATAATTCTTCCCCTTCCTATTGGCTTGAACTTTAGAGCTGAACTGGCCAATTAGTGACTAATTAACCTTAGACTGACTTAAAGCTGACTGACTACTAAGGCAACTGGCTCTGCCCACAAACCCAGTCTGGGATTACTTGACTCCCTCCTATCACAGGTCTTGTGCTTTGTACAAGAAAAATACTAAAAGACCTTTCAAGAAGGTAATTGTTACTTTTACACTCTGTTTTAGCTTTTTGTGCCAGGCCTGCATTACCTGTGTTAGCACAAAGTGCACACTGGATTGTCCTAAAGGACGCTCGGTGCGAGCTTTGGCCTTTCCTTAATCTGAGCGTTTAAAATGGCAAAAAAAAAATTAAAAAAAAAGATTTTGCAGTTGAGGAGGGAACTCTGTATCTCCCGTGCTGATCTACTGCAAAACTCCCCTCTGCACAAGCAGCAGCACTGCCAGGCAAGTACCTTCTCCTTCATTTTCTCGATTTTCTTGACGGAGCTTCGCCGGACGTGTTTCTCCTCGAACTTGACGTTGGAGGTCGAGTCGGGGGAGCGGGGTGTCTGCTTGTCCTCCTGTTTCACAGACTTCCCAATCTGCTTCTCCTCCTGCTTCTCGGCCTCCTTCAGCTTGCTCTGAGCGCTGATGCTGTCGGCGTTGTACATGTGGTAGGTTTTCATCACCTGCAGGAAGATGAGAGCCCAGCAAGGTTGTTAAACTCGAAATAATCCCAACTGGAAAAATAACTCAGGGGAAACTTCCCCTCTCAGAAGATGCCACAAAGGAGTGCATGGCTCTCGAAATGAATCTGAAATCAAAGTGGATTATTTTGCAGCTGTTTCTTTTGTTTAACTTTGGCATGTGCCTTCTTGCACAAGCCAATAAAGGAGGCATGAGATCCAAAAAAAGATCCAGACTCAATCCAGCCTCCTTTACAAAGAAAATGATATGCCAGCGTTGGAAAATGAGAGCTTTTCATCAGCAGGTAAGTTTTCCAAAGGGATGCCTATCAGTCTTTCATCTGGATGAATCAGTCCTTTAAACATCACAAGTCTCCAGGAACTGTATGTAAATCATGTCTGAACACAATGGCTGCGAAAGCAACTCAGGTTCCATTTGTTTATATCAAATTTGGTACATAAAAGTACTTCTGTTCACCTTAATAAATAAAATTATTTCACCTTATTAATAAAAATATTAATAAAAGTGTTGTCCTTTTTTTAGGGAGACCTGGAGCCTGTACTATATGAACAACTTTTATTACACATTTTGTATAATTAAGTATAGATAAACATCCCCCAAAGTCACAAAAAAACCCCATTTGTTTCACAGGATATTAATGTCTAGCTTTGTGTTGAGGAAAAAAAGGAACTAAAAAACCAAAGGGCACGATACATAAACCAGTTTTTTATCCAGAAATGCAAAGCAATTTGAAGCACACACCAAAACAAACATCATGATGTAACTCTCATGGGGGGGAAAAAAAAAAAAAAAAGCACAGTTGCACAAAGTCACCCCAAATAAATCAATTTTTTTATGCAAGTGGGGTCTTGATTTCAGAGGAAAATCTGTTTATACCTGTTTTGTACCATAACATGACACAGTTCTACGTAAGCAGGACGCAAGCTCTGCCTCTGCAGTGATCAGCAAAGGTTCTCAGCTACAGAGAGACACTGGATTTAAACATGAAAGGGACTGTGAATGCAGCCAGTGTTGGAGAGACGTGCTGAATAATTTACACACACGCACTCCCAGCTCCCCCATACGCTCAGACTATAAAGCAGGCATTTATAATAATTGATTCCAAGTAGCTTCTTTTCCCTCTGTCACTGAGAGTGGAGCTGGCAGAGAGCAAGAGAAGCAGGAGGAGAAATGAGGATTGGAATGGTTTCATCCCACTGCCCACCCCAGTCTGCTGCTGGGGTCACTGGTGACTCACTGGAGTCTGCTGAGGGCACGGGACAATTCAGGGCAAGAAAAAAATTACAGGCTGTAACAACCCCTCTGTGTTTTGTTGGCACAGGGAGAGTAAAGAATTCGCCCATATCCATTTTGCCTGAAAACAGGGATCCTGCCAAGGCTTTGGGTGCAGAATCACAACATGATTTAGGCTGGAAAAGACCTCCGAGATCATCAAGCTCAGCCTTTGGTTGATCAGCATCTTGTGCCACATCCAGTTAAAAACAGAGACCCAGCAGGACAAGAAGTGGAAACATTTCTAGAAAGTAGCACTGAATTTAATCACTGCTGGGGTTGTTTTGAGTCCAGCAAGAAATGGTCTTTTAATGTTGATCAGAAGTGGCTTTTTCAAAGGAAAAGAATTTTTCTGGTGAAGGGGCAACTTCAAATTTTGCAGCAGAAGGAAGGAATAAACAGATTTCAAGTTCCTAACATTGACATCAGAAAGGTCAGTACCCTACAATTCTTCATTTTTCAAAGGCTGAATTCTGGAAGATCTTCCTTCCACGGTCACAGAAACTACCAGGACTCAGTATTTGGCTGAATGACCTGTCAGAGCCTGGCACACAGGAATTATTACCCACATCTATGAAACTCCAGGAAGCAGCCCCTTCAGTGCCAGGTCAACTTGGATCAGAAAGAAATCTCAGTTCCTGAAAGTCTGTGGTTAGAAACAGAGCCGAGTTCTTCCCTAAGATCCCATCCAGGGACATGACTCAAAAGTTGTATCAGATTAAGTCCTCAAATAGAAAACAATTTCTGGAGTAGGCAGTGCTGATTATTATTATTATTATTATCTGAATATTTGGTTTCAATGCTGTAACTGTAACAAATTGTAATGGAACATTTTATTGATGTAGGAAATTGCAGGGATACCCCATAAATATTGTAACATTGATATTTTTACTGAATTTCATCACAGGGTTGATGTGCCATGGCTTGAGGAACATCCCCAGATCATCTTTTGAAAGAAGGAAGGACAGAACTTGTACCTCCGTGTCATGACCCTGCATATCATTAAGGAAGCACAAAATAAAAGGACATTTTGAGCCACTAAACCACATGTAAGTTCTGCTTTTAAAAGAGAACTAGCTCAGCAACAGCTGCAGAGAGCAAAAATCTCATCCAGCAACAGGATTTCCCATTTATCAATGTGAGAAGAAAAACCCCCACACAGCACATGAGCTCCCAGGAACACATCCCTCCTCCTTCCTTGGTGCCTCCAGTGGATTTACTGAGATCCAAAAAAAAAAGCACAGATGGAAAACTCTTATTACTCTAAGGGGAACTGCTTTGCTGAGGGTTGAGGAACAAACACACACAGTGGGTCCCCCCCTGTGCTGCCTTCTGTCTGCTCACACCACACAAAACTGAAGGGTTTTAGCATATTTAGATATAATTCTACTCTCTCTGACTCTTCTTAATTTAAAACTATCACTGCAGCGAAGGAGAAGGTGTGATCTCCCTGGAGCAAACACTCACAGAGCTGAAACAACACAGGGACAGAGGGAAAAAGTGGGATTTATGGTGCTCTGTAGGTGGTGAACACGAGGTGCCTCAAACTGCAGGGACTGCAGACGTTTATCAGTGTTGGTGGGAGAACCCAAACACTTCCCTTGTGCCTGAAAAGATGCCAAGGAGTCAGTTTGATTTACCGTGTAGAGTTCATTCAAGACCTTCATCAAGTCTTCCTGGAGCTGCAATCCCACTTCCTTGCTCTGCAAGAGAAGAGAGAAATGAAAGTTAATTGGGGAAGACGGAAAAGAGGAGGAGGAAGCGAACACGGAGCACCCACAAATAATTTAGGCCCAATTAAGCACCACTATCTATGCTGGCAAATCCAATAAACTGCCCAGCCCAGAGCCACTTAGGGTCACGTTGCACCAAGAGTATTAATAAACTGAAATGTTGTATAAGCGCAGAAAGAAAAGCTTTGCTGCATGGAGATGGAAACGGCCAGAGAACTTGGGATTTTCAAAGGAAACACACAGATCCAACAATTTTAGCAGGATCAAGCAAGACTATGGATACAGGACAGCTTGGTATGGAAGCTGAAGAAATGCAGGGTAAGGAAGTCAGCATGTAAGAAGAATATTACTCAGTTTAGACATTTTACTCACTCACTACCCACTAAGGCAGCGTTTGCGTGACTGACCCTTCAAGCTCTGCGTGTTAGAAGTGTTTAATATCTACTGGGGCAGCAAATTTGATAAGTTCAAGATTATTTATGCCTACAAAGTTCAGGAAAAGAAAAAGATAAAGAGGCAGAGTGGACAAACCCACACTTAAACCAACATTGTTGCCTTGGAAGTCAAGATAGTGTTAAGCCATGAGGAAAAAAAAAACCAAGACCATACTGATAAATGTAAAAGCCAAAAGAGAGAGTTCATATAATTTAAATCTAAATTATTCTCTTCTGAACACTGTCCAGTTCAGCAGTGCTCAGAGTGGGTTTCTGAGATGATGGTTGTTTTATCCAGATTGTTTCCCCAGCACAATGGGATGCACGAGTATCCAAGGTCCAATCCTTTGCCTTTTCCATATATTTCAGTCCCACATTCCTAACCCTGCTCCCCAGGTGCTACTGGAAAAAAAAAAAAGCATCTGACACAAATGCTGACAAAGGAAAGCATCCTGCTTTTTTTTCTGAGGAGTCTTTAATCTAAAGAAAAGTGAGAAGCTGGTGGTTCCCAATCCCCAAGGGAGTTGGCAGAAATGAATCTACAGTTTTTTCCATCTCCGAAAGCAGGAAAAAAAGCTGAAGCTGCTGCTCATCCCTGCAGTGATGTGGGTCACAAGGGTTTTCTGACTGCCTTTTTCTCAACGTGGAGATGATTAATGGAAGTGACTGGCTGGGTCTGTTTTAAACGCCCTGAGCACTGAACTTTTCACACAGAAGGAGCTTTTGAGCAACACGCTCCACTGTGCTGGTGGAACTGCCTGGACTGGCCCAATCATCTGCCTTTCACCAGGCTCTTTTCAGCCCATTTGCTTATTTCTTGCATAAAATTGCTCATTCACTGCACAAACTGCTGAAGCATCAATTATGCGAAATAGATTAAAATGAATATTTTAATGTATATTCGGGGTTGAAGAAGAAAAGGAGACACGCAAGTGCCAAATTGTCAAAACACAAAACTCTTTGTGCTTCCAAATGAGCAATCAAGAAAGAAGCTGCTGGATTGCTGGACTGGAAAAAACCTTCCATTAAGATGAAGGTGAGATAGATCATAGGTGCCACGAAAACAAGAGCTGTGCAATGAGCACTGTTAATGTAATGCTGTTCCCTGCACTGATTCCACCAAAAGAAAAAGGTTTAGGAGGGAAAAAAGCTGAGCTGGTGATAAACGAAAATACATTCGAGGAACCAGAAGGGTTTCCTTGGGAAAGTCAGAAGAAAATGGGAAAGAAGTTGTTGCTCGAGTGCTGTAGAGGGAGGCGAAGGTGATGCACAGAGAGAACTTCCCTGACTTCCCATGGAGTTCAAAGTGCAGCTAGATCCCAGGTTGCTGATCCCAACCCTTGTCATACAGGCATGAGAGATTCCAGAATCATGGTAGAATGTGGCAAGGATTTACAAAGAAAATGCATGTCAAGGAAACAGAACCCACAGTCTTTGCAGTTGCCAACGTCTCCAGTACCAATTTCTATTTCAGCATCAAATCCTTTGTTGTTCTCTATTATTCTGTATGTTTTGCAAAGGCAGACAGAGCTTAAATAAGTCAGTTTGTAAACAATCTTCCAGGAAAAAGCAATAAATGAAGGCAAATCTGATCAGTTTTATTATTATTTATCCATGTTCGGCTCTACCTACAACCAGAGTCTATCTGCACCTCCCTGAAAGGGCTTGTGCAACAAAATCTTATCTAACTGGCTCTACTAATAAACTGTGTGTGTGGGGAGGGGAGGTCCCCACAAACCTTGTCTCCTTGTCCCATCAGGGCTAAATCCTTCTGCTCTCGATTTGGGAGATGATCCAGTTGGATCATCACTGATGCTCCTGGAACATGGCACAGCACAGGAGCCCATGAGAATGGGGAAGGGGGAGAGTGGGGCACCAGCACCTCCTCACCTGTGCTGTGCCAAGGTGTGCAATGAGTGGTGACAACCACAGGCTGCCCTTTCCCTGAAAATCAGGAAAATAATCAGCAGCACCCAAGGAAGTCATTCCAGGATGGTGACAGCAGTGCAAACCTGCTTCCTCAGCACGTTCCTCTCAAATTGCCCCTCTCGAGCCTTTCCTGCAGCCCAAAGAAGCTGCTCTGAGCGCGTGTGTGCACACACAAACACACACACACACATGCACACTACTCCTTTGTTACCACAGGGTGTATCTGCCCCATGTGCAGAGCTGTAGGTTGCTGCCACATAAATTCCCAGCACCCCGTGCCAGCTCCTCAACGGCCTCTTTGTTCCAGCCCTCCCTCCCCTCCACCTCCCCTCTAATTTAATCAAGATGTTTTTTGGGATCTACTGCAGGACTGGCTTGGCTGTTCCGCATTCCACCAAACATTAACGACTTCAGCTTCAAAATATTCCGGGGGGATAATAAATCTGGGAGCGAAGGAATGCCGGCAACATTTCGTGCCCCGGATCTCGAGCCTCGGGAACTGTCGGTTCCAGATCTGATAGAAAGAGATGGGGCGGTTTCAAAACAAACATTCCGTGCAGCTCACGAGGTGCTTTCCCCACAAACTCAACACCAGGACTCCAACCATTGGTGGGTGAATGTGTAACAGCACCCAGATAAGAGATTTTATCTGATTATGTCGCCTCAAATGATGTCGGACGGTGACAGGGAACCCAAACCTGCTGATTCTGAGCTGCTCCCTAACAAGATCAGCTCCCTACATCTTATAAAAAGCAATAATTAAATGTACATAGGTGGAGGATAAACACTAAATATTCCCATGTTTTTTGAATCAACAGTGGGAGCTGGGAATGAATTTTGCTGTAACCAGTGAGGAAACGTGCAGCAGTGCAAGATCCTTTTAAATCCTGTCTAAATCCATGTTACAACACAGGGTATTCATTATGCACTAGTTAAATTCTGCTAATGAAGATTGTTAAAGAGAAGGCTTGGAAGGTAAAATCTAGCAGGATCCATGTAGCACTTAAACAGAATTTGGTAATTAAAGTTCAGAATTCTTTACAGGTGATGATAGTGATTTTTCCTCTTATTAATCAATCCTGCCTGTAATTCATTTGCATGCAGCAGTAAATATGATTTATCACCTCCATGCTCTCATCTAAACAGTCAACCAGCTTCACTGTGTCAAGTCTCCATCATCAACATCAGCCCAACCCCTATGTTATAAATATATCCCTTATTTTATGAGGATGTACCCTCACTGAGGGCTGTGACCTGCCTGAATCCTGGGCAAATTTCTCCCACAATTTTTATGGATAAATTGCTTAGCCACTCTCACGTGGCCCTACAGACCAGGAATTCTGTAACAACTTCTCCCAAAGCTTCCAACTCTCCAGAATCTACAGAAAAGCTAAGAAAACAAACCCTGTGTCACACAATACAAATGCATATTTTGGGTGACAGATCATCACTTTCCAGTTTAATGATCCATTATGCCCCGGCCAGTCATATTTAAATAAGAGTTGCTATTATCTAGTTTTCTCCACCATTTCACCAGTGATTTGTTTCACCACTATGTCAGCAAGAAGGAATTTTCCTTCTTAACAGCAGAATCCTGCCCTCTGGAAAGCCATTCCTACATGGAACCACGTCACACCACTGCCTCCCATCCTCTGGGCTCAGAGAGCAGCTTCCCAACAGCCCCATTCCCTATTTCCCTGGGTTTTTTTTCCTCAGAATTCTGTGCTGATCCTATGGAATTTTGGGCTCCAGGTGCTCAATCCCAACAAACCAGGCAATTTTATGGCCGAGAGTTTTCATTCCTGCTGAAAAACCAGCTAAATTTGCCCTCCTTGGACAAGCCACATGTGAAAAGGGCTTCTGGAGGTGGCAATGGTGGAGTCCTGGAACATATTGGAGTAATTTTAATGCTCTGCAGGGCAGCTTTGTGCTACCAACATCCCCTAATATCCTTTTTTTTTCCAAACTGCTGTGATGTATCTCTAGGAAAAAGTGACTGGAGGGATCAGTCACAGGAATGACCTGGAGTGTCCCTGCGGTGTCACCTCCTTCCTGCCTGACCTGGATTTTCCCACCTCAAGGTGATCCCACTGGTGCAGTGAAGGACAGGGTAAGCACAGAGGAAATCAGGAATAAAATGTAATAGCCATGGACTACTTGCACAAAAAACAGGACCAAATAAAGCATATTCCTTGCTCAATCCATAACCAGCAGTGACATTTGGACTTACCACAGAATCATGGAATGGTTTGGGTTGCAACAGACCTTAAAAATTACCTTGTTCCACCCCCTGCCATGGGCAAGGACACCTTCCACTAGCCCAGGTTGCTCCAAGACCCATCCAACCTGGCCTTGGACACTCAGGGATGGAGCAGCCACAGCTTCTCTGGGCAACTGTGCCAGGGCCTCCCCACCCTCCCAGGGAAGGGACTTCTCCTTAATATCCCATCTAAACCTACTCTTTTTCAGCTTTAAGCCATTCCCCCTTGTCCTGTCACTCCAAGCTCTTGTAATGGATTTGATGATCCCTGGGGTCCCTTCCAATTTGAGACAGTCTATGATTCTATGATTTTTAGCCTGTCACATATGCAGGAAAACTGCTCCAGC